TATCATACTGCTGATATTTCACAATACACAGTGTAATAATTCAATAGATTGGAGTGCTAACAACCTGGCCGTGCTGACGGCCTTGCAGTGCTGACAATCTGGAAGTACTGACAACCTGGCAGTGGTGATAACATGGCAGTGCTGGTGACCTGGCAGTGTGGGCAATAAGGCAGTGCTGATGACCTAGCAGTGCTGATGACCTGACAGTGCTGACAACCTGACAGTACTGATGACCTAGGAGTGCTGACAACCTGGCAGTGCTGAGATTACCAGTCCATCCCAGTACTGTGCTCTGGATAGTGAACTCTTACAATGTCTGGTGCAATCGACAGAGCAATTGGCCATTTAAGGACCGCTAGATTGTCACTCTTAGGTCTGGTAATTCCACCGAATTCTATCATATAATTAACTTCTCAGCTGTACAGTATATTATATAGCTTAGGTATTGCATGATATTATTAACTTCCAAACATTATACAGATTTAATGGAACTGGAACTAGAATGAGATGTAGATACCAATAAGGTGGAGCAAAGGAGACTGGTGAAGTAGATACCTTTATTACCCACAATGTTCTCCCCTATATAATGGATACTTTTATTAACATCAGTGTTTTCTTCACATAGTGGTGATGAAAAACCTTGAGTCAGCATGTGAGGGACACAACTAGAGAGAGAAAGTAAGTGAAGCTAGACCCTCTATTCATCTAAAGTGACTTTGATGTAGGATACATTGAGTATGAGAGGCTCCTCAGTACTAGCAACTATGCTGTACTCAGGTGCAATTACCTTGTGGAAGTGTACAAGGAGAGAAATAGAACAGAAAGGAAGGGATAAACCTAACTTCAAGAGAGGAGACTATGTAGACCTGAGGTAATTCCTAAGTAGAGTGTCATGGGACAGAGAGATATAGGGAAAGACAATGAACAAAATGATGGAATATGTAGCTGGAAAGTGCTGAGAGGCAGAGGAGAAATTCATATCCATAATCAGAAGCAGCACTAGCAAGAAGAGAGTGAGCCCATGGTTCACTCAGAGGTGCAGGGGAGACAACAGTTCACAATGTAAGAGCATGAAAGAAATATATAAAGCTAGAAGAAAAGGGAAGCAAGCAGAAGAGCCAGCAATGAATATTCATGGATGAGAAGAGTGGCTAAATGAATAATGTAGCAACAATAGCCAAATATGAGCCAAAATTGCTACACATCCACATCAGAAAGAAGACAACTGTGAAAGACCAGGTAATAAGGCTGAAGGAGAGAAGCTCACTAGAAATGACCAGGATGCCTGTGAAGAGCTAAACAAAAGATTTAGAGAGATATTCTCAGTGGAAACAAGAACACTGCCAGAGACAGAGGAAGAGTGTACCAACAAATACTGGACACAATACACGCAATGGGAGAAGACGTGAAGGAATTAACGAGTGAACTAGACACCAAGACAATATTTCTCTGTGGGTTCTGAGAGAGGAAGCAGAAATGTGTGAACCAGTATTTGTAGTCTTCAACAAGTCAACTGAGACAGGGTAGCTGCCAGAGGTGTGAAAAACAGAGAATGTAGTCTTGACAGATAGGTAACATTAAACTACATATCAGTGTCATTGACATGCATGGTATGTAAGGTATATAAGGAAAGTTGTGGAGCACCTGGCAAGTAGTGGATTCATCAACAACCACCAGTGCAGTTTTCAAGATGGTAAACCCTGTTTTGCAAATTTACTAGAGCTCTATAACAAGATAAAAGTTAGAAGAGAGACTGTATATTTTTGGACTGCAAGAAGGCATTTTTGCAGTCCAAGAATAAAAGGCAGGAGAAGGATGGGTGGACTACATGCTTCTGGACTGTAAGACGGTGTTTCATATAATAATACAAGAGACTGGTACAGAAGTTAGAAAGGTATGTAGGAATAACAGAGACAGCACAACAGTGGATCAAGGAATATTTAACAGGAAGGAAACAAAGCATTACTGTCAAGGAGAGGGTGTCAGAATGGGCAAGAGTAATGATTGGGATTCCATAAGGTTCAGTACTGGAACCTCTCCTGTTTCTTGTTTCTGTAAACAACATGCTAGATGAAACAGAGTCAGAGGTGTCCTGGGTGCAGATGAGATGAAACTAATGAGAAGAACACAGACAGGAGCAAAGAAGGAAAGACTACAAACAGTTCTGGACAAGCTGCATAATTGGTCTGACAAGTGGTTACTAGAATTTAACCCCAGCAAATGCAAAGTTACACAAATTGGGGAATGACAAAAGACTAGAAAGAGAGGACAAGGCTGCAAACCTTCCTGAAAGAGGTCCTTGGGGTGAGCATAGTTCCAAGCATTTCACCTGAGGCACACAACAACCCGATGACTAACACATCAAACATGAGACTGGCAATTTCTGGTTAGTTTTCAAGAATCTCAGCAAGGAGGCATTCACTGCCTTATACACAGCACATGTTAGGTCATCTTGGAGTATGTAGCACCAGTCTGGAACCCACATCTAATAAAGAATGTAAAGAAGCTGGAAAAAAGTGCAGAAGTTTGCAACAAGACTAGTCCCAGTGAAGAGGGACTAGAACAATTAAATCTGACCACACTAGAGGACAAAAGGACAAGAAGTAACATAATTATGACATACAAGATACTGAGAGGAACTGACAGGAGTGGACAGGGCACATCTGAGAGGTGGGTCACAGGTACACGAGGTCACAGCTGGAAGTTAAAAACCCAGACGAGTCACAAGGATACTGGGAAATACAGTACTTCTTTAGCCTTGGAGAGGTCAGGAAGTTGAACATCCTAGATAGCAAAGTGGCAGAGGCAGGATTCAAACATAGTTAATGATAGGATTCACACAGCCAGGAAAGAGTGAACTCAGTAGCAGCCAGCAAAGAGGTAGGGCCAGAAGCTGAAACTCAACCCCTGCAACCATACTTATACAAGTACACTGAACATCTTTATTACCCACAATGTTGCTCCCACACAGCGGCTACTGTTTCGGGTAATTAAAATATACAGTGTGGGAGAACACTATGGGTAATAAGGACATCAACTACATTTAAGTGTGGTTTACTCTGTACAATTAATTTCTAAGTATTTATCATTACCTTCAAGCACCATAGTTACCATTTAAGCATAATATCATAAATTAACATTTATGTCATAATAAATGTTTATCATAAAAATATTATATAAATGTTATCATACAAATGTTATCATAGAAATGTTATACAAATGTTATCATAAAATATTATATGTGTTATCATACAATATATCATACACATGTTATCATACACATTACATAAATGTTATCATATATTAATACACAACAGACACTTCAGCTAGCTTAATCCAGTTTAAAAAAAATAAAAAATAAAAATGTTATTCCCACATATTGCACACTGCCTATATACCAATGATGTATATTATAAAACATTATAAAAATACCGTATATACAGTTGCTATATTAATGAACAAAATTAATATTATAATGATGACATATTTCTATAAAAAATATAATTAATATTTTTAGTTATAAAATTACCATAATTACCTGTAATCATATTTGTACTATTCATCTTCTTTCACACAGTATTAATAATAATAATAATAATGTCTCGATTATTTTATCCTCGTCAGCTTATTCTCATAAGGAATTCACAAAGCTCACACACCAAGCCATAAATGCAATTATGATTATTATTGTTATTATTTTCGAGCACCGGCTGCCTCCCATCAAGGCAGGGTCACCTAAAAAAAGAAAAATGAAAGATTTTCTTTTTAAATTTAGTAATTTATATAGGAGAAGTGGTTACTAGCCCCTTGCTCCTGGCATTTTAGTTGCCTCTTACGACACACATGGCTTACGGAGGAGGAATTCATTGTTATTATTATTATTAGGCTGATCAAATCACATAATGGGTGAGGCTTCAACCCATGGCAGGTGAGTTCTAAAGCTCATATGCCAGTTCGTGATTTGTTTGCAATCACGTTATAGCACTTTCATGAATGGTAGTAAATATTTGACCTTATTACGACAGCCTGATATGTAGCTCCAGTATTGTACATTGTTTATGTCAGTAGATGTACTAAAAATATAAACACAGGAGACCTGGTCATGGACAGGCCATGGGAACACTGACCCCCACAACACCCTTCAGGTATATTATATTCCTCAATGATACTTTTTCACTCAAAAAAAAAAAAATAAATAAATAAATGTACAGTTTTATCATACAAATTTTTAAATATGTGCTTTTTTTTTTTTTGGCATCGTACTCCTGGCGTTGAGTATGGTGGTGACACCTTAAGCTGGTCTTGAGAGTTGGTCTTCTATCAAGGCTCAATCTGAAAGTAACCAGGCTGTTGCTGCCAGCAGGCAGCAAGAGTATGCCTGTAAAACTATTACAAACTGGCTCACATGGCACTTCAGCAGTTTAATTAAGTATTGTCACCAAACACAAACTCCCAGAGCATATAAAATAAAACATTATACCTGTACCATACCAAGTCTATACATTTTACAAAGACACACGCATATAATCCTGATATTTTTCCAAACTTTTATCCAAGAGTTCAGTGTCTATTACAGTGGACCCCCGGTTAACGATATTTTTTCACTCCGTAAGTATGTTCAGGTGCCAGTACTGACCGAATTTATTCCCATAAGGAATATTGTGAAGTAGATTAGACCATTTCAGACCCCCAAACATACACGTACAAATGCACTTACATAAATACACTTACATAATTGGTCGCATTCGGAGGTAATCGTTATGCGGGGGTCCACTGTATTTACTTGAAGACAAAAATCATCTGCATCAGTATAAATGCTAATATTTCTTCTTAAAACTTATACAAAAAAAGATCTTTGCTGTTGTGACCTGCATTTTTAAATTACTTTTGCTAGTATATTTTTAACTGAATTTTCACAAAAATGCAAAGGTGACCTAAGCAAAAGAGACATGACACTAGTGAGAGTAGAAGTGGTCACTCATGTCATGGCACTAAACTAATCAAATGTTTCTTGTCAACAGAAAGGGTCAAACAACATAAGGAATGTTAATTTTAGCTTTGTACAGGCATATTAATATTGTATAAATACAGCCAGGTACTGTAACAGCCAGATCGTGTCTTAACCCTCATGCAGTTGAGCCATGCACACAGAGTTCGTGTTGCAGCATTCTCACTCATACTTGCATGTGACATAAACATTGTAAAACACAGATTCTCAGGGCAATATGCAGAAATTTATTTGAAATAAAACAGTCAGGGTATTCAAGCAAAGGGATGTCAAAATGCTCTTTGACTGAAGATTATATAAAAAATCCTACATTAATACCATACTATATATATACAAAGAACAATATATAATAATATACAGTATGCTATATTTACTTAAAGTGAACAGATGTCCTGATTTAGAAGGAAGAGTCCTCTTTTGGATCAACATGTCCTTCTCTCCGAAAAACTTCTGAAGATGCAAAACTATCATACTGATGGATTTAATGTACTGATGATAAATGTCCTGATTTGTTCAACTTTCTACTATGGATCTGAGTCCTGGAGGTGGGAAGTACAGTGCCTGCACTCTAAAAGTGAGGTGGGAATATTTGGAGGGACACCTGAAGTGCCGTATCTGCTGCCTCTGGCAAGACAGTGGACAGTGATAGTGTGAATGATGGTGAAAATGTTTCGTTTTTGTGTCATTCTGCCTCAGTAGGAGACATCCAGCATGTTAAAAAGAAATTACGGGAAAAATTACACTGTAATGAAATTATCTGACAAGCAAAGAAATTTTTTTCTTCTTCTTTCAACACACCAGCCATATCCCACCAAGGTGGGGCGGCCCAAAAGAAAAAAACGAAAGTTACTCCTTTTAAATTTAGTAACATATACAGGAGAAGGGATTAAAATCTTTTTTATATACATATATAAAATTTGGTATCATCATTTGCGATGATTTTATTTTAACCAACTGAATAAAGTGAAATAACAGTAGTTCAGTTTTTTGTTTACTAAATGACTAATTGGAATTTTTAATAGTATAAAGAATGCTTCCTTGTATGGGTCACTAATTTGGTGGGCGACTGCTAGGGTAGCAAGAAAAATTTAATAAGATTGAATTTACATAACAAAACTGAGGTTCAATTATTATTTTTAATTATAAATTATATAATTATATAACTGTAGTGTCAGCATGCTTCTGGTCAGACAGTGATGGAGTGAGTGATGATGAGAGTGTCTCTTCTTTTTCGGACCACCCTGCCTTGGTGGAAAACGTTCGATGTGTAATAAATAAAAAAAAAATATTATATTTTCTTATAGATAGGTAGCAATAAAATAGTAACCTGTAGTTGACCCAAGCTGCACTACTTTTATAGGTAAATAGTGTAACACTATTCTTGTGCCTAGACTGTGGAAAGTTCAACAACAAGTTGTAGACCATACATTGTTACAAAATAATGAATTCTGCTGCTACAGAAGTTTTTTGATCTGAATGTGATACTGACCTGTTGGATGAGAAAGTATGAGAGGTGAATGTTTTTAAGATAGCAACAGATCAATGCTGGGGTAGATCTATTCACTCACTTCAGTGAGACAGATATAAGCCACAACACACATCGGATATATTTTATACAGTGTTTCCTTGAAACTAATTATCAATAAATAATTTGTAATTATTTGAACAACTTCAACTCTAAGCCCCACTTTTCAAGGTCTTACTAGTAACAAAAATAAATTGTAAAAAATTTGTTAGGAATTCTGTAAAACTCTGAAATTTATTCTTGAGCTTCTAAAGATTTCATTCAATGAAGGTAGAGAAATCGAACTTAGATTAATATCCTAGAGGCGAAATGAGTCACTTGTTATTTCATAATGTAAGTCTAGAATAATTACGCTGACATTTAATATTTTTTATCAACATGCTGGTCGTCTCTCACCGAGGCAGGGTGATCCAAAAGAAACACTTTCACCATCATTCACACTATCACTGTCTTTGCAGAGGTGTGCAGATATGACAGTTTAGATGTTTAATATAGATACATTAATTAGCCTTTTTTTCGATGTTCAAAGATGTCCCACTTCTAACCCCAGGCACTTCTAACCCCAGGCACTTCTAACCCCAGGTGCTTCTAACCCCAGGCACTTCTAACCCCAGGTGCTTCTAACTCCAGGCACTTCTAACCCCAGGCGCTTCTAACCCAAGGCACTTCTAACCCCAGGTGCTTCTAACCCCAGGCACTTCTAACCCCAGGTGCTTCTAACTCCAGGCACTTCTAACCCCAGGCGCTTCTAACCCCAGGCACTTCAAACCCCAGGCACTTCTAACCCCAGGCACTTCTAACCCCAGGTGCTTCTAACCCCAGGCACTTCTAACCCCAGGTGCTTCTAACCCCAGGCACTTCAAACCCCAGGTGCTTCTAACCCCAGGCACTTCTAACCCCAGGTGCTTCTAACCCCAGGCACTTCAAACCCCAGGCACTTCTAACCCCAGGCACTTCTAACCCCAGGTGCTTCTAACCCCAGGCACTTCAAACCCTAGGGGCTTCTAACCCCAGGCACTTCTAACCCCAGGTGCTTCTAACCCCAGGCACTTCTAACCTCAGGCACTTCTAACCCCAGGCACTTCAAACCCCAGGCACTTCTAACCCCAGGCACTTCTAACCCCAGGTGCTTCTAACCCCAGGCACTTCTAACCCCAGGTGCTTCTAACCCCAGGCACTTCAAACCCCAGGCACTTCTAACCCCAGGCACTTCTAACCCCAGGTGCTTCTAACCCCAAGCACTTCTAACCCCAGGTGCTTCTAACCCCAGGTGCTTCTAACCCCAGGCACTTCTAACCCCAGGTGCTTCTAACCCCAAGCACTTCTAACCCCAGGTGCTTCTAACTCCAGGCACTTCTAACCCCAGGTGCTTCTAACTCCAGGCACTTCTAACCCCAGGTGCTTCTAACCCCAGGCACTTCAAACTTTAGGTACCTCTAACTCCAGGAAATATGGTCACTTTAAGTATACAGTACTAGTTAATAATCTCAACTACATGTTTCTGTAAAGCAATACATAATGAATACATCCAACAAAAATTACTGCATTATTTTTTCAAATCCTTATTTCATAATTTAACAAAGAACAGCCAAAGAGTTAACCAAAAATAATAGTGATACTCACTTTTCTTCGAGTTCAGAGCATCGATGGGAGTCGCTGGTGACTGTGTCATCGCTACCGTCACTATGATCACTTAAATCTGAAGTTTTCACAAGTGGTGTTTCAACTGCCATGAATGACATTGCGTCAGAACCCTGAGACTTGTTAGAGACAGAAAGCTGAGATTGTGTCTCTTGCTTAACACCTGCAGGAGATATATTCTTTGTGCCTGAGGATATTGTTGTGTTGGCAGTGGATGACAGCATTCCTGACACAGTATTCACCAGACCTGTGAGTGTGCCTGACACACTCTGTCCAAGAGAACTGATCTGTGTTCCAGTAATGGATGGTAGAGATTCAGTAAGTGTTCCACTTCCTACAATTCTATATGTATCTCTTTCTTCTAGAATTTCCCAACCTGAGCCCAACACATGTGGTGACACTGTGTATGTTGCCCCATCAACATAGCCACTCACACCACAAACTGGGGTGCTTGTTGGTGCACATGGTGTATTGGAGAGTAAGTGGGATGGTGACTGGGGAGACTGTGGGTCAGTGGGAAGGGAAGACATGCATGATACAAGAGTGTTGGTGGAACACTCACTCCCACAAGGTGATGGAAGATCCACCAACGTCCCTCCACTTCCATTGTCATCTGAAATAAATAAATAAAGTATTATTTTAATGTTTACCTTTATCTAGGTCAAATCTTAATTATAGATATTAAGTACAATACCAGAAAAAATCATGAAAATATCCTTGTTAATGATCATGTTCGGGCTACTCATGGATGTCCAGCACCAGCCTTGTCACAGACCGGGCAACGGGGGCACTGATCCCCAAAACCCTCTCCAGGTATACTCCAGGTATACCGACTTATTTACTTGCTTTGGAGCTGGCTCAGGAAAAGTTGTTTACTAACAAACTCAAGTATTTACCTTCAGGAATGTAGCTAGGCTAGGTAAGAAAGTTGAGGAGTTACACACCCTCATTTATACACTATATATTATGATACATTCTAGGTCCTGTATGTTGGATTCATGTCATGCATGCTTCTGGGTTGTTACTCATTCATGTGTAATAATAACGATAAAAATATTCAGGCAGGGTGGGGATTTTTGCAATTTGAAGGGTCATCTGAACTGTGATATTGACATGCCTCTTTTACAACAGTAATAATGTGAGTGATAGTGAAAGCTTTTCTCCTTTCTTGGGTCATCCTACCTCTGTGGGAGTCAGTGTGTTACACATTTTATTTATTTTTTTAAGATATTATGTGAATATTATGCAGATAATAAGGAACCTGGAAAACAATGTGGCTGTTGAGATGGTTTAGTAATTTAGAAAGGATGAAAGAGAATAGGTCGACTAAATGGGCATATAAGGCCCCAAAATATGGAATTTATTACCAGAAGATATTAAAGTAACCCAGTCTGAAAATTAATTTAAGACTTCTCAAAAGCCACTTAATTACCCTAGACTAAATACTCAGTACACACATACTCACCTATGTTCTCCCACATCATAACTTCAACAATCACATTGAACCTTTTATCCATTGTTGACAGGAATATAATTGAATCATTGTTTTCACAAAAAGCATTTTCAAATATGTGAATATATCTTTTGTCTTATACAAATTTTGATTCATTTATAACTAATAATTTTCTGTACAACTATGAAATAATTACTATCCTACTGTACAACTATGATATAATCCTTAGTGTTAAGTAGTCTGTAAGCCAATAATGCCTAGGCATAATAGAGGCTCTCTTTGCATTGCAACAAACTTTTGTAAATACAAAATCTCAATGTACTGTTTGCAAAGACATAAAATAAATAAATAAATACATAGCAGCATATGTGTAGATTACCTAGGATAACCCAAAAAAAGTCAAAGTGACTTATTTCCATTGGAGGGAAGGAATAAATGAAGTTTTAAGTGGTTGGAGCTTCAGTAGGTGTATGTAAATGTGGTAAATCACTATGAGAAGAGACCTGTCATTTTAAGGATTTGATGTGCTGTCAGAGTATAAGCAATGTAACATTTATGAAGGGATTCAAAAACCCAGTAAGCCAGACTAAAGTTCTGGAGATGGGAAGTATAGAGTGTACACTACAAATGATGGGCAGGGACACCGTGAATATGAAGTGCCATAAATTGTCAAGTTCTGCTGCTGCTACAACAATAGATAATGAATGAATGTGTTTCCTCCTTTGGTGGGAAATGACTAATGAGGCAAAAAAAAAAAAAAATTCATTGAATAAGTAAACAGGCTTTTTCTTTTTTTTAACACACCAGTCATCTGCCACTAAGGCAAGGTGACCCAAAATAGAAGAAATGCTCATCATAACTCACTTCCTCACTGTTTTGCCAAAGGCACAAAAATACCACAGTTCAAAACTGCAAATATCCCCACCCCTCATTTCTTTATATAGTAGGGCCCCGCTTTACGGCATTTCACTTTATGGCGTTTCGCTAATATGGACATTTCAAATTATGGCTAAAACTCATTATACGGCTCCCCCTTCCTCCCATCTGACTCGCTATTACATTGTCCGTGAACTCCATGTCTCTCCAGTATGTCTGGAAACTTTCCAAAATTTCAAGTGTTTTAAAGTTACTGCATATTTTATATATACTGTACATTATTTTAAACCTGTGTAAAGGCAGAAAGTTGAAAGTGAACATAGATAAGACTAAGGTGATGAGGGTATCAAATGATTTAGATAAACAAAAACTGGATATCACATTGGAGAGAGGGAGTATGGAAGAAGTGAATGTTTTCAGATATTTGGGAGTTGACGTGTCAGCAGATGGGTTTATGAAGGATGAGGTTAACCATAAAACTGATGAAGGAGAAAAGGTGAGTGGTGCATTGAGGTATATGTGGAGACAAAAAATGCTATCTACAGAGGCAAAGAAGGGAATGTATGATAGTACGGTGGTACCAACTCTTTTATATGGGTGTGAAGCTTGGGTTGTAAATGCTGCAGTGAGGAGGCAGTTAGAGGCAGTGGAGATGTCCTGTCTAAGGGCAATGTGTGGTGTAAATATTATGCAGAAAATTCAGAGTGTAGAAATTAGGAGAAGGTGTGGAGTTAATAAAATTACTAGTCAGAGGGCTGAAGAGGGGTTGTTGAGGTAGTTTGGTCGTTTAGAGAGAATGGATCAAAGTAGAATGACATGGAGAGCGTATAAATCTGTAAGGGAAGGGGTCATCCTCGAAAAGGTTGGAGGGAGGGGGAAGGCGGTAAAGGAGGTTTTGTGGGCAAGGGGCTTGGACTTCCAGCAAGCGTGCGAGAGCATGTTAGATAGGAGTGAATGGAGACGAATGGTTTTTGGGACCTGATGAGCTGTTGGAGTGTGAGCAGAGTAATATTTAGTGAAGGGATTCAGGGAAACCAGTTATATTTATATAGCCGGACATGAGTACTGGAAATGGGAAGTACAATGCCTGCACTTTAAAGGAAGGGTTTGGGATATCGGCAGTTTGGAGGGATATGTTATATATCTTTATATATGTTTCTAAACTGTTGTATCTGGGTGCCTCTGCAAAAACAGTGATTATGTATGAGTGAAGTGAAAGTGTTGAATAATGGTGAAAGTATTTTCTTTTTGAGGACTTTCTTTCTTTTTGGGTCACCCTGCTTCAGTGGGAGACAGCTGACTTGTTAAAAAAAAATATATATACAAGTTTAAAATAAAAAAGTCCTCAGTTTTGTACACCATTTGTTGCAAACATAAAATCAGACATAACACCTGTGTATATTCTGTACATGTAGTGCCTTATTATGTATTTTTTAATGTACACTTTGCCACACATATTAATATACATTCAGTTTATCTTACTGATTTTAATAGAAAGTGCTAAAACTTTGTTGAGTTAATAGAGAAGCGGTAATTAAACAAGTGTAAACTGAATCTTTACATCTCAGTATATAGCTAACATATGAAAATTGTAAAAAATAATGAATAAAAGCATTTAATTACTCAAATTCAAAGTCAAAAATTTATTTCCACATGCTACAATGTTTGTATAGAGATGTGTAACATTTGCTGAGCATTTTCGGCAAACTTAAACCTAACTTAAGACTATATTGGCAATAATTATTACTTGCTTATAATATAAGAAGATTAATGCTTAATGTATGCATCTCTAGTATTTGTATTCATCACAATTCATGTAAAGTATTCTCATAATATTTCCATCCTCACTTTTCTCTGCTAGTGTGACTTTGTAAATGGTCCAAGTCAGACTGAAACGTTGTCGTAAGCTCCTCCTCTCTCTTATGTGCGGGTTATTTGTGTTAGATAATGAAAAACTGGATATCAGATTGGAGGGAGAGAGTATGGAGGAGGTGAATGCATTCAGATATTTGGAGGTGGATGTGTCAGCAGATGGGTCTATGAAAGATGAGGTGAATCACAGAATTGGTGATGGGAAAAAGATCAGTGGTGCATTGAGAAGTCTGTAGAAACAAAGAACATTATCTGTGGAAGCAAAGAGGGGAATGTACGAGAGTATAGTTATACCAACGCTCTTATATGGGTATGAAACTTGGATGGTGAATGTTGCAACAAGGAGAAGGCTGGAAGCAGTGGAGATGTCATGTCTGAGGGCAATGTGTGGTGTGAATGTAATGCAAAGAATCCATAGTTTGGATATTAAGAGGAGGTGTGGGATTACTAAAAGCATTATCCAGAGGGCTGAGGAGGGGTTGTTGAGGTGGTTCAGACATTTAGAGAGGATGGAACGAAAGTGAATGACTTGGAGAGTGTATAAATCTGTAGTGGAAGGAAAGCATATAGGGATCGGCCTAAGAAAGGTTGGAGAGAAGGGGTAAAGGTTTTGTATGCAAGAGGCTTGGACTTCCAGCAAGCATGTGTGAGCATGTTAGATAGAAGCACATGAAGGCAAATGGTTTTTAGGACTTTATGTTGGAGTGTGAGCAATGTAACACTTATGAAAGGATTCAGGGAAACTGGCAGGCTGGACTTGAGTCCTGGAGATAGGAAGTACGTACAGTGTTTGCACTCTCAAGGATAGGTGTTAATGTTGCAGTTTTATAACTGTAGTGTAAGCATGCCTCTGGCAAGACAGTGATGAAGTGAATGAAGACGAAAGTTTTTCTTTTTTGGACCACCCTGCCTTGGTGGGAAACGGCTGATGTGTTGATAAAAGAAAAATAATAATAAAAAATCATTATATTTACAGACTGCTGGGTTAACCATTTCAGTCTCCACAATCAGCTACTGTCATCAAAGATATACAATTGTATATCTCTGCATGACTCAGCAGTACCAGACTATTGCAGTAAAATTGGTGTACTACCAGACTGTTGTAGTAACACTGGTGTCAGCTCTAGGCTACTGCCCACCACATAAAGATCACAATAACGTAACTGGAATAATACATAATTTAATCTTCTATGTTTATGTCTTAACGTTCTTTAAACATTAGGATTACTTTGCCCAAAATACATTGCATTTTAGTAGCTTTATTTTGTGCCACCAGTTTTTCATCACATGTAGACCACATTATTTTGTTCTGCATAAACAAATAAACAATTTATTTGTATTAAAGTTCTTTTGAAGATATTTAAGGGTCTTGGACCATTATAAAAAAATTATTTGATAATAGACTGAAGATTTACTGCCAATTCATTGATTATAACTGAAATACAGTGGACCCCCGCATAACGATCACCTCCGAATGCGACCAATTATGTAAGTGTATTTATTTAAGTGCGTTTGTACGTGTATGTTTGGGGGTCTGAAATGGACTAATCTACTTCACAATATTCCTTATGGGAACAAATTCGGTCAGTACTGGCACCTGAACATACTTCTGGAGTGAAAAAATATCGTTAACCGGGGGTCCACTGTACTTATAAGTGAAATTTCAGGTACATCGTGCTACTTCTACTTACACTTAGGTCACACTACACATGCATGTACAAGCGTATATATACACACACCTCTGGGTTTTCTTTTATTTTCTTACTGGTTCTTGTTCTTGTTTATTTCCTCTTATCTCCATGGGGAAGTGGAACAGAATTCTTCCTCCGTAAGCCATGCGTGTCGTAAGAGGTGACTAAAATGCCGGGAGCAAGGGGCTGGTAACCCCTTCTCCTGTATACGTACATTACTAGAGTTAAAAAGAGAAACTTTTGTTTTTCTTTTTGGGCCACCCTGCCTTGGTGGGATATGGCCAGTTTGTTGAAAGAAGACTTATAAGTGAAGGTGTAAAAGGTTATGAGATATGACACTCGTCTATACCCAAATATTAGGCCTACTAAGAATTATTAAATGTAAAGGCACATTAATGCACTTGTCATTTCAGAACTGTAATGAGAAATACTAATTATCTGTAGTATCTAATAAGAATAAAAACTACAAAAAATGTTTTATTGTGGATTTACTCTAAATATAAAAGAACCTACATAAATTTGGCCATTTTTCTATATTTGAAAAATAAATATAAAAGTCATATAATGAACCTTGTGAGAATGCATCGAAAAACTCATCCTCGCTGACTGCATCAAAAAATCTGCGAGGTCTGGGCAGCGATACATATGAGTTTGCCGGAGTGTTGTAGATGGACGAGCCATTGGAAGATACATGTGAGGCTATAGACTCTTCTAATTCATGGTGTTCTGTGGCTAGTACTCTCAGAGATTCTTCCAACACACGAACCTTCTCACGCTCCTCTTTCAGCTGAAGGTCTCTAACCTGAGGTGTTGGAAACATTCACATTTAGATTTTTTTGGACTAGTTCTCATTATATAATCACATGACAGAATCAACTAAAATAAAAAAATTATAGTATATCTTGCACTCAAAAACCCTAGTTGTAGTGAGGCTAGCGAAATAACAGCTCATAAAGTTCATTACACAACTACCCATATTGAACCACAACAGCAATGTTTTGGTCTGACATGGGCCAGTAACCAGACCAATGGTCCATGCTGGACCAAAACACTGTCAATGCATGGGTACTATCGTTACTTTTTCTTCTTCAGTAAGGTCATGTTATGTGAAGTGTTCTTTTTGGCTCAATCTGCTCAGCAAGGTGTAAATTTCATGACATTCAACTATGTGATATACACTCAACACCTGAAGGCACTTAACACTGTAAAGTGAGTGATATTATTGGCCAATAAATGCAAAGTTTTGGAAAGATAAATATCTCCTATTACATCCTACAATATCAACATAGATTACAAAATTATTTATGTGATATACAGTACTGTACATGCATATATATGTATACAATGTCTGTCTGGATGTATGTATTTGTTTTTTATTGCTTTTACCACACCGGCCACCTCTGATCAAGCTAAGGTGACCCAAAGCAGGAAATGTATTCACTATCATTTACATAAATAAATCATAATGAACACTTGTCAATGCTCAATAATAACAGGGAGACAGAAACTTTTAAGATTAATTGTTCTGTATATTTCAATCCCCTTCTGGGATCCTCTTCACTTGTCTGGTGGTAAGTGTGTGGCCATCACAATGGCCCTCTATATTGCAATATCTGCCCTCCTTCAGGGTACAGGTGCTGAATGTCCCACCTCCAGGGCTCAAGTCCAGCTAACTGGTTTCCCTAAATCCCTTCGTAAGTGCTATCCTAAAAATATTAAAAATACAAATCCTAAAATATCACTTGTCTGTACTCTTATCTAATATTCTCACAAACACCTGCTTGATGTTCAAGCCCCTGCCACTTAAAACCTTTATCACTTCCTCCAACCCTTCCTGGGATGACCCCCAATCCCTTCTTCCTTCCATTTAAGATTTACACTCCTTCTTGGTCATTATATTGTACTCTGTCCTTTCTAAATTGTCAAACTATCACAATTACCCTCTACCCCTCTCAATTATACTTCTAGAAACCCAACACTCCCCACAAATTTATATGCTCCTAGTTCTCTCTATAATATAATACAATAATATCTTTCTCTCTCCTGTAATTGTTTTACATGATGGTAGGATTGCTGGTGTCCATTTTTCTGTCTCATGAACATGCAAGGTTTCAGTACAGTCTTGCTACTTCTACTTACACTTAGGTCACACTACACATGCATGTAAAAGCATGTATATACACACAGCCCTCTGGGTATTCTTCTATTTTCTTACTAGTTCTTGTTCTTGTTTATTTCCTCTATCTCCATGGGGAAGTGGAACAGAATTCTTCCTCCATAAGCTATGCGTGTTGTAAGAGGCGACTAAAATGCCGGGAGCAAGGGGCTAGTAACCCCTTCTCCTGTATAAATTACTAAATTTAAACAGAGAAACTTTTGCTTTTCTTTTTGGGCCACCCTGCCTTGGTGGGATATGGCCAGTTTGTTAAAAAAAAAAAATGTACAACGTATAGAGACCATAGCTGATATCAATGACATGCTACTATATAGAAAGCCCCTTGCTATGCTGAGCATTTCCCACAAATTAGGTCTTACCCATACCCACACAGTCTTCCCCACCAACCATACCATCTTCCCCACCACCCACACTATCTTCCCTTTTCACTATCTGTTCCTGGTGTAAGGCCACAGGATGCACTCTGAGATGTACTCCTCCCCCTTGGAACAGCATATGGCACACTACTAGAATTCACGTAGTCTTGTATAAATTCATGCTTCACTTGAGAATATTCCTCTTCATTGTCACTACTGAAATTGTAATCAGGAGCTTGGAAATTACAATCAGTATCACTACTATCATGACCACTGCTCACATCTGAGTCCTGGATATGGGAAAGTATGAGTTTCCTCTTTGCCGTGATACAAATGAACATGAATGAGATGGCCCAGCACCAGAGGTGAGAGGCTGAGGGTTGTCTGGGTTTTCAGCACTATTTCTGGTATCCTGGGTACTGCTTTCAGTCACAAACTCCTCATAACCATGAAATTCATCTTCATTGACACTTCCATCTGTGTTAGAACTATCACTTGGGAAGAGAAGAGTCCCAATTTGCCGGGGATTGAGGTATTCCTTACCGCTAGGCATGGTGAACAAGGCATACTAAATTAGCACTCCCACAATGCACTGTGACCTCCCCGATTTTTTATACTGCGCACACTGAGCACACAGACATATTCTCTTGCATGTAAGCTTACCAGCTTTCTCCTGTCATATTTGAAGCCACTAGAATTTTGGCGTAGTATCACAGGATTGACAGTGGCTTCAAAGTCATAATATTATGGGACCAACAGTGAAAGGGTTCAATAACAACCGCTCAGGGAGGTACCATTGTCCTGATAAAGGAGTGTGAAATGGAAAGCTGTAATTGCTTAACACAATGGTAGAATTGCTGGTGTCTTTTCTTTCTGTCTAATAAACATGTAAGATGACAGGTACATCTTGCTATTTCTATTTACATCTAGTTCACACTACACAAGCAGTTGTTTATGTTCATGTTATGTGCTTACACACTCATCATAGTTTTCTTCTAATTTAATAGTTCTTCTTCCTCCTTAATAATTCTTGTTTCCTTTCAGCTCCAAGAGCAAGGTGAGAATTTTTCCATAAGTCATGCGTATTGTAAAAGGTGACTAAAATATCAGAAGCAAGAGGCTAGTAGCCCCTTTGCCTAATATTTTGAGTATTTTTGATAGTTTGTGTTGCTGTATAGATCAGCTGTTAGTTATTTCAATGATCATTGTTCCCCAGGGCCTGGTCATACACCAGGCCTGTTAAATTGAAATGGAAATGTTACAGTAAAAATAAGTGTATGTAGAATGAAAAAAAAGGTTTGTAACATTTACCTTTCATTATACTTGTTCATGAGACAGAAAAATAGCAATTCTGCCAGAATGTAAAATATTTAACAGGCTCCCATTTCACATTCCTATGTTGCCTGAGACCTACATCCCTGAGAGAAACCATTGCAGACAGCACAATTCACAAGCTTGGAGTGTCAGGGGTAAATGATAAGGATGATGTCTCTAACCGAATTATATGTAGAGATTTCACAACAGATATTACTTATTTTAAGAAAACAAGGACAATTAAGTACAGCATATGAGATACGACTTAGTGCACAATAATAAAACTACCTGAGCAACACCTCTTCTGACATCTGAATGATAATAGTTTTTGTAATTCCCATGCCATCCTCTAATTTTTAAGTTCCAATATTCACACCACTCTTGGCTCTCAAACATGACATCTCCATTATAAGTAGAAGGTTTTTTTTTTTGCTTTTTAACACAAAACAATTTTACAGGCTAAGAACTGTTATCCCACCTCTGCTCCTTTCAAAGCCCAGAATTATCTAGAGTATACTATTACCCCTGGGATGCAACCCACACTAGTCGACTAACACCCAGGTACCTACTTACTGCTAGGCGAACAGGGACAGCAGGTGTAAGGAAACATGCCCAATGTTTCCACCCGTACCGGGGACCGAACCGCAGACACTCAGTGTGTGAGCTAAGTGCGCTACCAACCAAGCCAGGGGACAGGCTGGTAGACAGCAACCACCCAGGGAGGAACTACCATCTTATATGAGTGTGAAATAGAGATACGTTAAATGTTTTACACTCTAGCAGAATTGCAGCTACCACTTACATTCACTATACACTACACACATGTGAATGTATAGGAATATGTATGTATATATACACTCATCTAAGTTTCATTCTATACTATAACTCAAAGTTCTTCCCCTTAAAGTGATTCCTGTCAATTTCCCAGGAAAGTGGGTTACAGTCCCTCCTCCATTAACAAAGGCAACTGAAATGGCTGAAGCTAAGCAAATAACCCCTTCCTCTTCATCACTTATTATATAAACATGGCATTATATATTACTGTATTGAAAATACATTATAATATTACATTATTTTTATATTATTATGACACTGGCCGATTCCCACCAAGGCAGGGTGGCCCGAAAAAGAAAAACTTTCACCATCATTCACTCCATCACTGTCTTGCCAGAAGGGTACTTTACACTACAGTTTTTAAACTGCAACATTAACACCCCTGAACATCAAAATGGTATACAATACCGACAGGTTGTTAGGTAAGACACATATGCAACAGTTAGACAACTTTATTCCGAAACGTTTCGCCTACACAGTAGGCTTCTTCAGTTGAATACAGAAAGTAGGCAGGAACAGTAGAGATGTGAAGACGATGTAATCAGTCCATCACCCTTAAAGTCGTAGAATTTGAGGTTGTCAGTCCCTCGGCCTGGAGAAGTTCAGTTCCATAGTCAGGAACTATCTGAAGATCAAGCGACAGTGCGGAGACTTAAATACTGTCGGAAGGAGAGGTGCAGGGTAGAAGTAGTAGTAGTAGTAGTAGTGAGAGGCAATTGAGAGGTCATGTCCCTCTCAGATCCAACCCTTCTCACTTGAAAAGCTTGTCCAAGGTGTTTTCTGTACCAAGATGTCACGTGTTGCAGTGTCTGACAAGATGAACATCAAAATGGTATACAATACCGACAGGTTGTTAGGTAAGACACATATGCAACAGTTAGACAACTTTATTCCGAAACGTTTCGCCTACACAGTAGGCTTCTTCAGTCGAATACCCTGCACCTCTCCTTCCGACAGTATTTAAGTCTCCGCACTGTCGCTTGATCTTCAGATAGTTCCTGACTATGGAACTGAACTTCTCCAGGCCGAGGGACTGACAACCTCAAATTCTACGACTTTAAGGGTGATGGACTGATTACATCGTCTTCACATCTCTACTGTTCCTGCCTACTTTCTGTATTCGACTGAAGAAGCCTACTGTGTAGGCGAAACGTTTCGGAATAAAGTTGTCTAACTGTTGCATATGTGTCTTACCTAACAACCTGTCGGTATTGTATACCATTTGATGTTCATCTTGTCAGACACTGCAACACGTGGCATCTTGGTACAGAAAACACCTTGGACAAGCTTTTCAAGTGAGAAGGGTTGGATCTGAGAGGGACATGACCTCTCAATTGCCTCTCACTACTACTACTACTACTACTTCTACCCTGCACCTCTCCTTCCGACAGTATTTAAGTCTCCGCACTGTCGCTTGATCTTCAGATAGTTCCTGACTATGGAACTGAACTTCTCCAGGCCGAGGGACTGACAACCTCAAATTCTACGACTTTAAGGGTGATGGACTGATTACATCGTCTTCACATCTCTACTGTTCCTGCCTACTTTCTGTATTCGACTGAAGAAGCCTACTGTGTAGGCGAAACGTTTCGGAATAAAGTTGTCTAACTGTTGCATATGTGTCTTACCTAACAACATTAACACCCCTCCTTCAGAGTGCAGGCACTGTACTTCCCATCTCCAGGACTCAAGTCCGGCCTGCCGGTTTCCCTGAACCCCTTCATAAATGTTACTTTGCTCACACTCCAACAGCACGTCAAGTATTAAAAACCATTTGTCTCCATTCACTCCTATCAAACACGCTCACGCATGCCTGCTGGAAGTCCAAGCCCCTCGCACACAAAACCTCCTTTACCCCCTCCCTCCAACCTTTCCTAGGCCGACCCCTACCCCGCCTTCCTTCCACTACAGACTGATACACTCTTGAAGTTATTCTGTTTCGCTCCATTCTCTCAACATGTCCCAACCACCTCAACAACCCTTCCTCAGCCCTCTGGACAACAGCTTTGGTAATCCCGCACCTTCTCCTAACTTCCAAACTACGAATTCTCTGCATTATATTCACACCACACATTGCTCTCAGACATGACATCTCCACTGCCTCCAGCCTTCTCCTCGCTGCAACATTCATCACCCATGCTTCACACCCATATAAGAGCGTTGGTAAAACTATACTCTCATACATTCCCCTCTTTGCCTCCAAGGACAAAGTTCTTTGTCTCCACAGACTCCTAAGTGCACCACTCACCCTTTTCCCCTCATCAATTCTATGATTCACCTCATCTTTCATAGACCCATCCGCTGACACGTCCACTCCCAAATACAGTGGACCCCCGCATAACGATTACCTCCGAATGCGACCAATTGTGTAAGTGTATTTATGTAAGTGCGTTTGTACGTGTATGTTTGGGGGTCTGAAATGGACTAATCTACTTCACAATATTCCTTATGGGAATAAATTTGGTCAGTACTGGCACCTGAACATACTTATGGAGTGAAAAAATATCGTTAACCGGGGGTCCACTGTATCTGAATACATTCACCTCCTCCATAGTCTCTCCCTCCAATCTGATATCCAAACTTTCATCACCTAATCTTTTTGTTATCCTCATAACCTTACTCTTTCCTGTATTCACTTTCAATTTTCTTCTTTTGCACACCCTACCAAATTCATCCACCAATCTCTGCAACTTCTCTTCAAAATCTCACAAGAGCACAGTGTCATCAGCAAAGAGCAACTGTGACAACTCCCACTTTATGTGTGATTCTTTATCTTTTAACTCCACGCCTCTTGTCAAGACCCTCGCATTTACTTCTCTTACAACCCCATCTATAAATATACAGTGGACCCCCGCATAGCGAACGCCTTGCATAGCGAACATTCCGCATAGCGAACGCTTTGTCCGCTAAAATTTTGCCCCGCATAGTAGACAAAAACCCGCTCAGCGAACTTCGTTCGAGACGCGTCCAATGTGGGCCCTCAGCCAGCCTCACATGTGCCGCCCGTCCCATTGTTTACCAGCTAGCCTCCGCGGTAACATTCAAGCATACACTCGGAATATTTCGTATTATTACAGTGTTTTCGGTGCTGTTTGTGGAAAATAAGTGACCATGGGCCCAAGAAAGCTTCTAGTGCCAACCCTACACCTCAAAGGGTAAGAATACCCATTGAAATTAAGAAAGAAATCATTGATAAGTATGAAAGTGGAGTACGTATCACCGACCTGGTCAGGTTGTACAAGAAACCAAAATCAACCATCGCTTCTATTGTGGCAAGAAAACGGCAATCAGGAAGCTGTTGTTGCCAAAGGTTTAACTGTGTTTCGAAACAAAGATCGCAAGTGATGGAAGATGTTGAGAGACTCTTATTGGTGTGGATAAATGAAAAACAGCTAGCAGGAGATAGCGTCTCTCAAGCGATCATAATGTGAAAAGGCTAGGAAGTTGCATGACGATTTAATTAAAAAAATGCCTGCAACTAGTGATGATGTGAGTGAATTTAAGGCCAGCAAAGGTGGTTTGAGAGATTTAAGAAGCGTAGTGGCATCCATAGTGTGAATACGGCATGGTGAGGCTGCCAGTTTCGGACCACAAAGCGGCTGAAAAATATGTGCATGAATTCAAGGAGTACATAGAAACTGAAGGACTGGAACCTGAACAAGTGTTTAATTGTGATGAAACAGGCCTGTTCTGGAAGAAAATGCCAAGCAGGACCTACATTACTCAGGAGGAAAAGGCACTCCCAGGACATAAGCCTATGAAAGACAGGCTTACTCTTCTCATGTGTGCCAATGCTACTGGTGATTGCAAAGTTAAGCCTTTATTAGTGTATCACTCTGAAACTCCCAGAGCGTTCAGGCAAAAGAATGTCCTCAAGGATAATTTGTGTGTGCTGTGGAGGGCAAACAGTAAGGCATGGGTCACTAGGGAATTTTTCTATAACTGGTTACACCATGCATTTGCCCCCAATGTGAAAGATTACCTAACTGAAAAGAAATTAGACCTTAAGTGCCTCCTGGTGTTAGACAATGCCCCTGGTCATCCTACAGACGTGCAGAGCGACTTTATGGGGACATGAGCTTCATTAAGGTGAAGTTTTTGCCTCCTAATACCACTCCTCTCCTGCAGCCCATGGACCAGCAGGTCATTTCCAACTTCAAGAAACTGTACACAAAAGCTCTGTTTCAAAAGTGCTTTGAAGTGACCACAGACACTGGATTGACTCTAAAAGAGTTTTGGAAGGATCACTTTAATATCCTCAGTTGTGTAAACCTTATAGGTAAGGCTTGGGAGGGAGTGACTAAGAGAACCTTGAACTCTGCTTGGAAGAAACTGTGGCCAGAATGTGTAGACAAAAGGGATTTTGAAGGGATTGAGGCTAACCCTGAGAGGAGTAGTATACCAGTTGAGGAATCAATTGTGGAATTGGGGAAGTCCTTGGGGTTGGAGGTTAGTGGGGAGGATGTGGAAGAGTTGGTGGAGGAGGACAATGAAGAACTAACCACTGATGAGCTGATAGATCAACTTCAAGAGCAAGAGGCCAGACCTGGGAAACTGGTTCAGAGGAGGGGAGAGAGAAATTGAAGGAATTGCCTACTTCAAAGATTAAGGAAATGTGTGCAAAATGGCTTGAAGTGCAAACCTTTTTTGATGAAAATCACCCTCACACAGCTATTGCAAGCCGTGCTGGTGACTATTACAATGACACTGTTGTGAAACACTTTAGGAAAGTCATAAAGGAACGAGAGGTACAGGCCACTATGGACAGATATGTTGTTGCGAAAGAAGTCCAGTGACTCTGAAGCTGGTCCTAGTGGCATTAAAAGAAGAAGGGAAGTAACCCCAGAAAAGGACTTGCTACCTCAAGTCCTAATGGAAGGGGATTCCCCTTCTAAACACTAACACTCTCTCTCCCCTCCTCCCATCCCATCAATCATCACCAGATCTTCAATAAAAGTAAGTGTCATGTAATTGTGCATGCCTTTTTCAGTTTGTGTGTACTAAAATTAACATTTTTTTGTGGTAAAAAAATTTTTTTTTCATACTTTTGGGTGTCTTGCACGGATTAATTTTATTTCCATTATTTCTTATGGGGAAAATTAATTCGCATAGCGAACATTTCGCATAACGACCAGCCCTCTTGCACGGATTAAGTTCGCTATGCGGGGGTCCACTGTATTAAACAACCACGGTGACATCACACATCCTTGTCTAAGGCCTACTTTTACTGGGAAATAATTTCCCTCTTTCTTACATACTCTAACTTGAGCCTCACTATCCTCGTAAAAACTCTTCACTGCTTTCAGTAACCTACCTCCTACACCATACACCTGCAACATCTGCCACATTGCCCCCCTATCCACCCTGTCATACGCCTTTTCCAAATCCATAAATGCCACAAAGACCTCTTTAGCCTTATCTAAATACTGTTCACTTATATGTTTCACTGTAAACACCTGGTCCACACACCCCCTACCTTTCCTAAAGCCTCCTTGTTCATCTGCTATCCTATTCTCCATCTTACTCTTAATTCTTTCAATAATAACTCTACCATACACTTTGCCAGGTATACTCAACAGACTTATCCCCCTATAATTTTTGCACTCTCTTTTATCCCCTTTGCCTTTATACAAAGGAACTATGCATGCTCTCTGCCAATCCCTAGGTACCTTACCCTCTTCCATACATTTATTAAATAATTGCACCAACCACTCCAAAACTATATCCCCACATATATCCTATATCCCCACATATAAAAATTAAAAATTACAGTACAGTATGGCTCAATACAATGCAGACATGCAATAAATAAACACTAACTATATTAATTGCATAATGTAATTACTAATGCCATTAGAGTACTTCATGTGATAACATCAATTAGAGTACTTCATGTGATGACATCAATTAGAGTACTCATATGATAACATCAATTTGCCTTGAAAAATAGAACAATAATGTTGCATCACCTCCTCTTGCTGCTTCATGAGGGACAAGCAGTGTGTGAGGCTGGTACTCATGTTGTGTGCTGTGCTTGCCAACACTGAGAACCTCTGCAAGCAAAAAACAAACATCTCAACAATTCAGTGCATGATGAACAATGATAAGCCTCAATATATACATTTATGCACTTATACAAGCTTGTGAACAATGTTACCCCCAATCAGACACTGATGAACCAAACCAAACCAGTACCTGAATAACATTGCATACACCTTAGTGTACAGTACCTTAATAACATTACATACACCTGAGTGTACAGTACCTAAATAACACTGTGTACACCTGAGTGTATAGCACCTTAATAACATTGTGTACACCTGAGAGTACAGTACCTTAATAACATCATGTACACCTCCTTGCTGAGAGTGGTCAAGGTCCAGAGAAGCCAGAGTGGCCATCACCTCCTCTACTTGTTGCTCCATCAGTTGCTGGTGGGCCGTGGCTGTCTGCAGTGCATCCTTAGCAAAAATAAAATGAATTTAGCCATAATATGAAACAAGGATTCATGTCATTTAAAAATTTAGATAGATTATATAAATTTTTTTGTATGGTATTATATACAGTAGACCCTCATATTACAGGGATTTATTTGGCACATTTTGGTTATTACACTACTGAAAAATTGCAGCATAATTTTATACACTTCGTAAAATTAGCTTAACATGGTTCGGTTTGTGGGGGAAAAAAATTTGGAGCATTGCCCATGGGATATTTCCCTAGCTCAGGCCACTGCCTGGCTGTGGGTGAGACCACTATCTCCGCAGGGTTGCACTGGGCTTCAAGGCAGCAAAAGATCGCTTCACCTTGCTCCTTTGTGGTAATGCATCAGGTGATTTCAAGTGTAAGCCCTTGGTTATTTACCACACTAAGAATCCTCATGCTTTGAAAGGTGTAGATAAAAACACCTTACCAGTAATTTGGAGGTCAAACCAGTCAGCATGAATGACAGAGGAAATATTTATTGACTGGTTTAAGCATCACTTTATTTCTGAAGCCAAGTTTTACCTTGATAATTCCCATACTCATCCAGAAGCTTTGCTGGATGTGACCCTACATGTAAAAGTTGTATTTTTACCTCCAAATACAACATTTTTAATACAGCCACTGGATTGAGGAGTTATTAAGTCATTCAAGTGTAACTACACAAGAAAAGTGATGAAAAAACTAGTTTCATCAATGGACTCTGACTCCAACCTGACAGTACCAAGCTTCTGGAATAATGTATAATGTACTGCAGGGTAAAAGAAGCCAGAGATCCATTACAGAATTTATGCACCCTCCAATACAACCACTGACTTTAGTACCAGAACCTCAACCATCCACTTCTGCTGACAACCAACAACCATCCACCTCAGCCAAGTAGAGCCACACCATGCATCTCCACTCTCTTCACAATCAATGACATACACCAGCAACCACAATTTAAGGTAAATAATATTATTTCTGTTACATTTGTAGTCTTAAGCAACAAAAACAACATTTTCATTTATTTTTGTAAGATCTGGATATCTAAAAAAAAAAGTTGTTTGGCTTTTGGGGGAGCTCCCAAGAATGTAACCCTGTTTTTCCCATAAGTTCTTCAGTTTATATAATATGGATTTATCTAACATGGCATTGTCAGGAACATAGCTACCATGTAATATAAGGGTCTACTGTATATAAATCTAGTAAGCCTGTAGTTTTCACTGGAAATTCTGTGTGTTGTCAAGTTATAGCAGTACAGTAGTTCCCCTGTATCCGTGGGTGATATGTTCCAAAACCTACTGTGGGTGCCCGAAGCCATGGATAGTAGCAAACTCTATGTATAAGTCGTGTTTCATTTACATACCCACTATAAAGTTTAACCGATAAATTAACAACAATAAGGCATTACGATGTAGATAGTTGGAGATCGTCGATGGTGGACATGTAGTTTGTTTTTCAACCTTTTGGAAAAACATCTTTCTTTCCAGCTCATCAAACATTTACAGGAGAGGTTCTAATGTTTCAATGATTAAACGGGTGACTTTAATGCTGCGTTCTATCATAGGATCATAATTCACAATTTTTTCCTTTAAGGTCTGTGCAATGAGAAACACTTCGACAAATTTTTGCAATGTCCACACTACTGGTTCTGTTTCAGTTTCTTCTTTCTCATCTTCCTCTTCCTCTGTTAATGGCTTGACAAGCTCTTCTAATTCTTCATTCGTCAACACTTCTTGATGTTCTTCAATAAGTATCAAGTCAAAAATTATCACTTTTTCAGTGATGGGAAGCACTTCACGGCTTCTCTTAAGCTTTAAACAACTGCCACCAACACTACTTTTGTAATTTGGGTCCATTATTAAGCAAAATTAAGGGTTATTTTCACAACAATACTGCAATAATGTGGCAACAAATGTGGACAGTGAGAATACTATGGTGGGTACAGGGCCAGGGTGGGTACAGGGCCAGGGTGGGTACAGGGCCAGGGTGGGTACAGGGCCAGGGTGGGTACAGGGCCAGGGTGGGCACAGGGCCAGGGTGGGTACAGGGCCAGGGTGGGTACAGAGGACAAAGAGGGATGAGTCACATACTGAGAACGATGGGGCAGGAAGGTTTCATCATGTTACTCTGAATAGCTGGCAATCTGAAACTTATCATTTATTTCCGGAATTTTCCACTTAATATTTTGGGCCATGGTAAACCACAAATAACTGAAACCATGGAAACCGAATCTGTGGATATGGAGGTTCTATGGTATATTTGAGGTTCCAATTTTCAGAGAGGAGAATGGGAAATGAAATACTTGTTACGATATGATGAATGATAAGTGTAGTGCAATAAAAAGTGCAAGCAGGTGACAATAATGAAGAAACACATGATGACTGTGATGAATGGAAGGTGATGAATATAAGAACGAAACTGATTAAGTTTGAAGAAACAGTATTGAAGAGGGGAAACTGCTTTGCTGTTCTTCAGAAAGGATTTATAGATAATGACAAGAACAGAGATAGGACAAATGCCTCAGCAATTAAAAAAAAAGAATATACAGAACTCATTTTTGGAGACTCACAGAGTAGATATATGGACAGAGCATTCAGTAACAGGTATAAGAAGGTAAGATAGGGTGTATGTTCCCCTGAAGTTGGTGTGGATATGGTTAACAGGTTAGATAACTTCATGTCAGGTAATGGGAACAACTCTATTACCTGCCTCAGTGCTGGAGACAGTGATGGTGGGAAATGCACGAGAGATAATCTGCTTCTAAAGTAAAGACGATTATTGATATATTTAGATCACAGGAAGGGATATTAATCATATGTGGCATTTAGCCTAGAAGAAGATAGGGCACTGAATGAATGTATAGGGGCAACTGGTGTAAAATACTGGCAAGACAAACACTGCAAGGGACTGACACTTCCATTCATTGACAACTGGTATAATTTCTATAACAAACTTGATATGTATGTAAGTGATAGGGGTACAGCTCTCTGGGGCAAGGGTGATAGTAGTCACCAGTCTGCTTGAGATCCATGCCGAGTTGTATTAGACTAAAATGATGGAAGATTGAGGTATGGGCATATAAGACAAAAGGGTTGCAGGATTAAGGGTGAAAGAAACAAAAACTGCCAAGATACATTAAGAAATTGGTCAAAAAAGAAGATAGCTCATACTCAACATTATGGTACTGTACTTTAAAAATAAGTTTTCAAGGATGTAAAACTTTAATGTAGCCTCCAGCAAGGTAATAGAAAAAACCCACTTACAATTTTTGTTCTTAAACAGGAATTAAAACACTGGTTTGGAAGTAGTTGAAAACGATTAGAATAATAATAATGATAATAATAATAATCATCTTTATTTCTACAAGTACATGTACTGTACAAGATATACAGGCCTAGCTGACATCAATTACATACTACTATATAGAAAGCCCCTTGTTATGTAGAGCATTTCAGGCAAATTAGGTCAATTTTGTTCCAGGATACGACCCACACCAGTCGACTAACACCCACGTACCTATTTCACTGATAAGTGAACATGGACAGCAGGTGTCTTACGGAAACACATCCTAATATTTCCACCCATACTAGGGGTCGACTCCTGGACCTCAATGTGTGAGCTGAGTGTGCTAGCAATTAAGCTACAGGACACCGTAGTAATGTAAGCACACCATACAAGTGTGAGTAGGACCTCCCTATCATGGTTTACTACAGTGCTACTCTATCAGCACATGGAATAGTTTATAGATTTTAACTCTTCAGAAAAATTACTCATAAATGAGCTGACCTCTTACTGTCTGCCCAAAAAATTGGCATTAAAACCTCAACCTAAACTCAAATACATATTGTATGTAGACTGTTGCATCTACTAATTCTTGTGTCTTATATGTGTGAATGATAATGTTCCATCATTCTGTGTAAAGAATGTTTCTAGAATTCATTCAGCATCCTTTTTTTCAAAGTTTGCAATTGTAACCACTTATTTTGCCTGTTGACTGTGCTAATTCACTTTTTTTTTTTTTCCAACAAGTCGGCCGTCTCCCACCGAGGCAGGGTGACCCAAAAAAGAAAGAAAATCCTCAAAAAGAAAATACTTTCATCATCATTCAACACTTTCACCACACTCACACATTATCACTGTTTTTGCAGAGGTGCTCAGAATACAACAGTTTAGAAGCATATACATATAAAGATACACAACACATCCCTCCAAACTGCCAATATCCCAAACCTCTCCTTTAAAGTGCAGGCATTGTACTCCCCATTTCCAGGACTCAAGTCCGACTATATGAAAATAACCGGTTTCCCTGAATCCCTTCACTAAATATTACCCTGCTCACACTCCAACAGATTGTCAGGTCCCAAGTACCATTCGTCTCCATTCACTCCTATCTAACATGCTCATGCACGCTTGCTGGAAGTCCAAGCCCCTTGTCCACAAAACCTCCTTTACCCCCTCTCTCCAAACCTTTCAAGGACGACCCCTACCCCGCCTTACTTCCCCTATAGATTTATATGCTTTCCATGTCATTCTACTTTGATCCATTCTCTCTAAATGACCAAACCACCTCAACAACCCCTCTTCTGCCCTCTGACTAATACTTTTATTAACTCCACACCTTTTCCTAATTTCCACACTCCGAATTTTCTGCATAATATTTACACCACACATTGCCCTTAGACAGGACATCTCCACTGCCTCCAACCGTCTCCTCGCTGCTGCATTTACCACCCAAGCTTCACATCCATATAAGAGTGTTGGTACTACTACACATTCATACATTCCCTTCTTTGCCTCCATAGATAATGTTTTTTGACTCCACATATACCTCAACGCACCACTCACCTTTTTTCCCTCGTCAACTCCCAAGTATCTGAAAACATTCACTTCTTCCATACTCCTCCTCCCCAATTTGATATCCAATTTTTCTTTATCTAAATCATTTGATACCCTCATCACCTTACTCTTTTCTATGTTCACTTTCAACTTTCTACCTTTACACACACACTCCCAAACTCATCCACTAACCTTTGCAATTTTTCTTTAGAATCTCCCATAAGCACAGTATCATCAGCAAAAAGTAACTGTGTCAATTCCCATTTTCAATTTGATTCCCCATAATTTAATCCCACCCCTCTCCCAAACACCCTAGTATTTACTTCTTTTACAACCCCATCTATAAATATATTAAACAACCATGGTGACATTACACATCCCTGTCTAAGACCTACTTTTACCTGGAAGTAGTCTCCCTCTCTTCTACACACCCTAACCTGAGCCTCACTATCCTCATAAAAACTCTTTACAGCATTTAGTAACTTACCACCTATTCCATATACTTGCAACATCTGCCACATTGCTCCTCTATCCACTCTATCATATGCCTTTTCTAAATCCATAAATGCAATAAAAACTTCCCTACCTTTATCTAAATACTGGTCACATATATGCTTCAATGTAAACACTTGATCTACACATCCCCTAACCACTCTGAAACCTCCTTGCTCATCCGCAATCCTACATTCTGTCTTACCTCTAATTCTTTCAATTATAACCCTACCGTACACTTTTCCTGGTATACTCAGTAAACTTATTCCTCTATAATTTTTACAATCTCTTTTGTCCCCTTTCCCTTTATATAAAGGGACTATACATGCTCTCTGCCAATCCCTAGGTACCTTCCCCTCTTTCATACATTTATTAAACAAAAGTACCAACCACTCCAACACTATATCCCCCCCTGCTTTTAACATTTCTGTCATGATCTCATCAGTTCCAGCTGCTTTACCCCCTTTCATTCTACGTAATGCCTCACATACCTCCCCCCCACTTACATTCTGCTCTTCTTCACTCCTAAAAGATGGTATACCTCCCTGGCCAGTGCATGAAATTACCGCCTCCCTTTCTTCCTCAACATTTAAAAGTTCCTCAAAATATTCTCGCCATCTACCTAATACCTCCCTCTCCCCATCTACTAACGCCCCTACTCTGTTTTTAACTGACAAATCCATACTTTCCCAAGGCTTTCTTAACTTGTTTAACTCACTCCAAAATTTTTTCTTATTTTCATTAAAATTTCTTGACAGTGCCTCTCCCACTCTATCATCTGCTCTCATTTTGCACTCTCTCACCACTCTCTTCACCTTTCTTTTACTCTCCATATACTCTGCTCTTCTTATAACACTTCTGCTTTGTAAAAACCTCTCATAAGCTACCTTTTTCTCTTTTATCACACCCTTTACTTCATCATTCCACCAATCACTCCTCTTTCCTCCTGCCCCCACCCTCCTATAACCACAAACTTCTGCCCCACATTCTAATACTGCATTTTTAAAACTATTCCAACCCTCTTCAACCCCCCCCCCCACTACTCATCTTTGCACTAGCCCACCTTTCTGCCAATAGTCGCTTATATCTCACCCGAACTTCCTCCTCCCTTAGTTTATACACTTTCACCTCCCTCTTAATTCACTTATCACTCAGAAATCCCACATATTAAAAATAGACAAGAAATAGTACTGAACATATCAATCCAGTACAGAGAAGAATAGCTGAAGATTAGAAGGAATTTGAAGTTTGAAGTAATGAGTCCCTCAGCCTGGAGTCAATTTCATCAGTCGATCACATTGACTCCAGGCTGAGGGACTGATTACCTCAAACTCCTTCTGATTGACAACCATTCTTCTCTGTATTGGACTGAGGAAGCCACTGGTTGGCAAAACATATCCATAATAAAGATACCCAAGTGTTACACAAGTGTCTAATTCACAACAAAACAGAGAAGAACATTAGGGAGAATTTTTATAACACTGAGGTCAGCTCACATGACATGATTTTTGTGCCATAGCTGGCACAGATTGTGACTTTACAGGTCAGAATAGCAGAGGTCTAAGTGTCTAAGTACTAGGTTGCTTCAAAACAAAGTTTGATATACAGTAGTGACATGTCACTTAAAAAAACATGTCATTTCAAAAGATAATCTTCATACAACAGCTTGAAAATGACCACAACACAATGATTTACAAATTTCTATAAATTTAATGAAACAATGAAACTTAAACAGAGTGAATTATTTTTTACTAAAGTTAATTTTACATACAACAATATTTACTTACAGACATACAGCCAAGAGGTTTAACAGTCCTGTCAACATCATCATCATCATCATCGTTGTCCACACAAAGACCGTGTTGAACATAATGAGTTGAAAACCTAATGTGGTTGTTCAGTACAGCTACCCACTTCTGTAAACACAATAAAATAATATTATAGCTAGGTCTTGATTAGTGTGAATAATGAATTCCGTGAAGTGCAGTGGTTTCATTATTCGAATTCGCACTATATTATACATGTATGTAATTTTTGTGCACAATTTGAAGAGTTTGGGGGAAACTTGCATTAATTAATATCGTACTAAATAGAAATTCGCACTTTTCGAATTCACACTAATCTGAGACCTGGCTGTGTATCATACCATTTTAAAGCAAGAAATATTATTTTCTGTGTGGTGATAAATGAACCATTTGGTGTTGCCTCTCCATGCATCAGTATTAAACCTTCCTACCACTTTCACCTCAAGCATTTTCACATCCTTGAATGTGAATACTACTTTAAAGTATAGGCATGGTGAGACTTGGTGGGTTAATACTGGACTGCAAAGTCTGCTTCATTATGGTAAGACAGCTAAAGATCAAGTGATGGTGAAATATGTTTTCTTCTTTAGGTAACCCTGTCTTGGTAAAAAATGGCCAGTTGGTTACAAAAAAAAACACATATTAGACAGGGAAGACACACAGCCACACATACACATGTGGAAAAGGATACAAGTACAGTGGACCCCCGGTTAACGATATTTTTTCACTCCAGAAGTATGTTCAGGTGCCAGTACTGACCGAATTTGTTCCCATAAGGAATATTGTGAAGTAGATTAGTCCATTTCAGACCCCCAAACATACACGTACAAACTCACTTACATAAATACACTTACATAATTGGTCGCATTCGGAGGTGATCGTTATGCGGGGGTCCACTGTACACAGTTTAGGATATTTATTTAAAGGAAATTCTTTGCCACAATATCTTCATCAGTTCTAACACAGAATACTCTCAGGGGTGTAACTACTATGAAACTAATGAAGCTTAAGCTTCAGGGCCCCTAATCCCAGAGGGGCCCCGAGAAGCAGCTTTAGTCCATATTGCTTAAAAATTTTGGGTTTACTATATGAGAAGGGGCCCCCCATAACAGTTCAAGAATCAGGGCCCTAAAAATGTAGGTCCACTACTGAGTACACTGGATTAGGACTGATTGTCAATATCACTATACCACTCATAACCACGTACGTAACACATTTGTCTATATTTATTAATACTAAAAACAATACTTGCAGCACCTTCATGTAATATTATGCTACGGGGTTGGGGAAAAGAAGTACAGTACAGTAAATAATATAGAGAAATATCAATGGGAAGAGGAACACCCACATTACTTTCCCAATGGTTGAGTTTTTATGGGTAACCTAAAAAATAGAGTTTCCTGCATATTATATTTCCTTTATAGGCTATAAGAGGGATAATAAGAATGGGAAGAGAACTGAGGTAGGATAGAGCAGTGTAAAAGGTTGTAGGTAAACAGGAAGAGAGAGGTACGAAAGGTTAAGTGGCCTGACTACTTTTTAAGGGAGTGGTTTTCATCATACAGTGACGAGCATTATATACATGAATATTGAACTACTACCTCTTAATACAATTACCAACTCATAATATAATTTAAAACTTTATACAAGTAACACTGAAGTAGTCTCACGGCATAATTGCTGACCTGTCTGTTAATGGAAGCCGGGTGTAATGGGTCAGGGGTGGCTGCCAGACGATGGCAGGTGCCATCGTTGTACTGAATAACAAACATGGCACCATCCCCGCCCACCATGGGGATGACTTTACTGTTATCCAGGTACTTGTAATCTCTCCTTCGTACACCAGAGCTGGCATCTGCACGACTGTTGAAGAAGGTCAACACACCTCGCTCCAGCACACCCTGAAAGTTCAACATTAAACATTTCCTCATGCAATAAATTACTCGAAACAATTATATGCTTTTAATGTATATTGGCAATCTTGTTGCATTATTATTGCTAGTTCATCTGTCTTTATATATAATTGTTACTACTACACCAAGGTACGGTGGCCCGAAAAAGAAAAGCTTTCACCATCATTCACTCCATCACCGTCTTGCCAGAGGCAACATTAACACCCCTCCTTCAGAGTGCAGGCACTGTACTTCCCATCTCCAGGACTCAAGTCCAGCTTCCAGGTTTCCCTGAATCCCTTCATAAATATTACCTTGCTCACACTCTAACAGCAAGTCAAGTCCTAAACCATTTGTCTCCATTCTCTACTAACACACTCATGCATGCTTACTAGAAGTACAAGCCCCTCACACACAAAACCTCCTTTACCCCCTCCCTCCAACCTTTCCTAGACCGACCTCTACCCTGCCTTCCCTCCACTACAGATATATACTCTCTACATGTCTGAACTACCTAAGCAACTCCTCCTCAGCCCTCTAGATAATAGTTTTGGTAATCCCCCACCTCCTCCTAATTTCCAAACTACAAATTCTCTGCATTATATTCACATCACACTTTACCCTCAGACACGACCTCTCCACTGCCTCCATCCTTCTCCATGTTGCAACATTCCCCACCCATGTTTTGCACTCATATACTCTCATACATTTCCCTCTTTGCTTCCATGGGCAAAGTTCTTTGTCTCCACAGACTCCTAAGTACACCACTCATCTTTTTCCCCTCGTCAATTCTATGAGTCACCTCATCTTTCATAGACCCATCTGCTGACACATCCACTCCTAAATATCTGAATACATTCACCTCCTCCGTACTCTCTCCCTCCAATCTGATATCCAATCTTTTGTTACCAAATTTTTTTTTGTCCCCATCACCTTACTCTTTTCTATTTTCACTTTTAATTTTCTTCTTTTTACATACCCTACCAAACTCATCCACCAACCTCTGCAACTTCTCTTCAGAATCTCCCAAAAGCACAGTGTGAACAGCAAAGAGCAACTGTGACAACTCCCACTTTGTGTGGGAGTTGTCACAGTTGTCACCACAGTTGTGTGGTGACATCACACATCCTTTTCTAAGGCCTACTTTTACTGAGAAATAATCTCCCTCTCTCCTACTGGCTCTAACCTGTGCCTCACCATCCTCGTAAAAACTTTTCACTGCTTTCAATAACCTACCTCCTATTCCATACATTTGCAACATCTACCACATTGTTTCCCTATCCATCCTGTTATATGCCTTTTCCAAATCTATAAATGCCACAAAAACCTCTTTACCCTTATCTAAATACTGTTCACCTATATGTTTCACTATAAACATTTTGTCTACACACCCTCTACCCTTCCTAAAGCCTCCTTGTTCATCTGCTATCCTACTCTCTGTCTTACTCTTAATTCTTTCAGTAATAGCTCTACCATACACTTTACCAGGTATACTCAACAGACTTATTCCCCTATAATTTAAGCACTCTCTTTTGTCCCCTTTGCCTTTACTTTGCTTGAATTTCCTGAACCTGTACTCCCTGGAATGCAGGCGGGAGAGATACATGATTATATACACCTGGAAAATCCTAGAGGGACTAGTACCGAACTTGCACATGAAAATCACTCACAATGAAAGCAAAAGACTCGGCAGACGATGCAACATCCCCCAATGAAAAGCAGGGGTGTCACTAGCACGTTAAGAGACAATACAATAAGTGTCAGTATAACAAGTTTGTTTGGTAGGGCTGAAAGCGGGTGGTTAATGATAAACATCTTCGGAGGCTTCTTACTTTATTGTTAAGTAGTGGTGGGTACAAAGGCTTGTGTGTTGTGCCCATGGCCCGGGAGGGCCATGCCCATGAGGGAGAGAGAGTAGGCCTTCTTGACTGAGTGACGTGAGCGGCCAGAGTGAGAGTGAGGCAAGGGCGGGCAGGCTGGCGTGCCCACCGAGAGGCCTGGCTACAGAGGGCAGCACCTTAGTGCGCGAAATATGAACTAAGCTGGCAGAGAGCATGGGCTGTCTGTGCAGACAGTACAGGCTGTCTACATACGCTCGGCCACCTACCGCGCGTCGTCCCGACGCGACAATACTGGTGGTAAAAAAAACTCGGTCTCTCTCTCGTAGGAACAGGGCACAGTACACAAAATAAAAACATGTATATACATATGGACATGGAAAAAAAAACTTCCTACAGGGAGGGAAGAAAAAAACATGTGGTGTGTGCTAAACATCGTGGTAATAGGCAGTGAGCGTCGAAGGGCATCACTGCACGCCTTCCTGCGTCTGGACAGATACTGCAACACAGGAGACATCGCTGCGGCTGAGCTGTGACGTAACAGGGTACGGTCTCCTCTGGAACAGTGAAGCAGTCATCGTAGGAGTCGCTGCAGGTTTTCACTCAACCTGGGGCACGACATGCTGGTGCCCTCGAGTGAGGCGTCGACAAAACTCGGCAACTGGGCAGGACTTCTGGCAAGCGACTCAGGAGGACACTTCTCGACTGGTACTGTCGCTGGGCTGTCACTGCCGGCGAGCGTGGAGCGAGTTGTGGAGCGAGTCGTGGCAGAGACGACTGGGCGAAACATCTGGGAGTCGTAACATCATACACCAGACTGCAGTGAGAGAGCTAGCAGTCAAAGTGACATCTTCTTTGTGCAGGCTGCTCACTGAAGCTTGTGACACGAGGCTGACACAGCGCCTGCCGACAGGGCTAACTGCAGCTTGACAAGTGTCATTCTCTCGGCAGTTGGAGTTATAGCAGAGGTTAGTCTAAGCGTCCCCAGACTTGTTTCTCTACATATAACTGCATTCTGAAGGTCTGGAGGTGAAGTGAAACAAATCTCGATGGGAAATGTAGCAGGTACGATTCTGCAGAACATCACGAGCGACAAGCATAAGAGCTTTCTGTACAAGAGGGCTCGGACTCGGCTGTCTGATATCAGCTGTCAAACACACTGGTCACATCGGGTGACTTAGCACAGTGGTGCTACTCAGTTCTGGCTCAGACCTCACTGGACACACGGAAACTACACACACCCGCGGTACATGCGGTACACTAACATGTGAGAACACTAAGAGGAATTAATTAATGCATGACATATATCTTCTCGACAATACTGAAATAATTACTAGAAACACTCGATGTGACATCATGTGATGTCAGGCGTGATGTCGCGAGGTGATGTCAGCAGCACTGTGACGTCAGCAGACATCTCGAGCTGACGTCAGGCAGACATCGTGACGTCATGAAGTCGGGCAGCATCGCTGGTGACGTCAATGTGATGCGGGCAGCAGACCACAGCATGTGGCCTGGGACATCTGGCTTGGTAACTCACGTGGCTCGTAGATACACATGACATCGTCCACACCCAACGTGGCGTCGGGATCCACGTGGCGTCGTGATCTACATGGCATGCTGATCCACGTAGCTTCGAGTGGCCTCGGGCACTCGGATACACAGCTCTGGCAACCATTTCACACGGAAAACAGCAGAAAACACAGCAGAGGGAGTGAGTAGAGGGGAGTGTATGGTAGTGTGGTGGCAAGGAGCGTGGGTGAGTGTATGGCAGGGCAAGCATCTGGCCACTTTCTCCTCCTCCTCCCCCACCCACAAACACAGGGAGACACACTGGGTGCAGAAATCACCACAAAACTCACCTCTGGCTTGCTGAAACAGTTGTGCTGAGCTGAACAACAACATACAAGTGACGCTGAACACGTGACTTGAGAAACAGCATGGGACGCTGTTTGTACCTGTGTCTGGATGCTCAAACGTGCAGACACGACATAAGGATAACTCGTTGAGAGACGGATGCTTCTTGTATAGGGTGATGAAGTGAAGATGACTTCATACCTCTTCCTTCCTCTCTCCAGGCAAACGCAACTGCTGCGACCACCACTGCTACCAATGTTTAATGAGATTATTTGGTAATCTGCAAAGCGGGGTGTAAATGATAAACGTCTTCGGAGACTTCTTACTTTATTGTTAAGTCGTGGTGGGTACACAGGCTTGTGTGTTGTGCCCATGGCCCAGGAGGGCCATGCCCACGAGGGAGAGAGAGTAGGCCTTCTTGACTGAGTGAAGAGTGTCGCCAGAGTGAGAGTGAAGCAAGGGCAGGCAGGCTGGCGTGCCCACCGAGAGGCCTGGCTACAGAGGGCAGCACCTTAGTGTATGAAATATGAACTAAGCTGGCAGACAGCATGGGCTATCTGTGCAGACAGTACAGGCTGTCTACATCAGGGGCCCCGAGACTATTCAACTGCCTCCCAGCACACATAAGGGGGATTACCAATAGACCCCTGGCTGTCTTCAAGCAGGCACTGGACAAACACCTAAAGTCGGTACCTGACCAGCCGGGTTGTGGCTCGTATGTTGGATTGCGTGCAGCCAGCAGTAACAGCCTGGTTGATCAGGCTCTGATCCACCAGGAGGCCTGGTCACAGACCGGGCCGTGGGGGCGTTGACCCTGGAACTCTCTCCAGGTAAACTCCAGGTATACAAAGGAACTATGCATGCTCTCTGCCAATCCTTAGGTACCTTATCCTCTTCCATACATTTATTAAATAAAAGCACCAACCACTCCAGAACTACATCCCCACCTGATTTTAATATTTCTATCTTCATCCCATCAATCCCAGATGCTTTACCCCATTTCATTCTACCTACCACCTCATGAACTTCCCCCACACACACAACTCACTTCTCCTCACTCTTACAAGATCTTATTCCTCCTTGCCCTATAAACGAAATCACAGCTTCCCTGTCTTCATCAACATTTAACCCTTTGACTGTTTCGGTCGTATATATACGTCTTACAAGCCACTTTTTTGATGTATATTCTTTCTTTCTTTCAACACATCGACCATATCCCACCGAGGTGGGGTGGCCCAAAAGGAAAAACAAAAGTTTCTCCTTTTACATTTAGTAATATATACAGGAGAAGGGGTTACTAGCCCCTTGCTCCCGGCATTTTAGTTGCCTCTTACAACACGCATGGCGTACGGAGGAAGAATTCTGTTCCACTTTCCCATGGAGATAAGAGGAAATAAACAAGAACAAGAACTAGAAAGAAAATAGAAGAAAACCCAGAGGGGTATGTATATATACACTTGTACATGTATGTGTAGTGTGACCTAAGTGTAAGTAGAAATAGCAAGACGTACCTGAAATCTTGCATGTTCATGAGACAGAAAAAAGGACACCAGCAATCCTACCATCATGTAAAACAATTACAGGCTTTCGTTTTACACTCACTTGGCAGGACGGTAGTACCTCCCTGGGCGGTTGCTGTCTACCAACCTACTATCTAGGTTGACGTATATTTTTTTTTTTTTTCAACAAGTCGGCCGTCTCCCACCAAGGCAGGGTGACCCAAAAAAGAAAGAAAATCCCCAAAAAGAAAATACTTTCATCATCATTCAACACTTTCACCACACTCACACATTATCACTGCTTTTGCAGAGGTGCTCAGAATACAACAGTTTAGAAGCATATACGTATAAAGATACACAACATATCCCTCCAAACTGCCAATATCCCAAACCCCTCCTTTAAAGTGCAGGCATTGTACTTCCCATTTCCAGGACTCAAGTCCGACTATATGAAAATAACCGGTTTCCCTGAATCCCTTCACTCAATATTACCCTGCTCACACTCCAACAGATTGTCAGGTCCGAAGTATCATTCATCTCCATTCACTCCTATCTAACACGCTCATGCATGCTTGCTGGAAGTCCAAGCCCCTTGCCCGCAAAACCTCCTTTACCCCCTCTTTCCAACCCTTTCGAGGACGTATATATACTCATAAATTCTAGTGGCTTCAAATCAAGCAGGAGAAAGCTGGTAGGCCCACATGTGAGAGAATGGGTCTGTGTGGTCAGTGTGCACCATATAAAAATTCCTGCAGCACGCACTGCATGAGAAAAAAAACTCTGATTGTATTTTTTAATTAAAATGCTGACTTTGTGGTCTATTATCGTATAGTATTTATGGTTGTATTCTCGTTTTCTTGGTCTCATTTGATAGAATGGAAAACATATTATAGAAACAGAGGTGATTTTGTTTGATTTTACTATGAAAAGAACATTGAAATGGAGCTCAAAGTAGGGGAAATGTTTGATTTTTGCCGATGTTCAAAAGTAAAGAAATGATGTCATTTTCCAATAAATGTCCAAGTAGCCATTCTAATATGCAGTCATGAATGGGTTGACATTATTTATACAATTATTACAATATTGCAGTAGTCTGCATAACAGTAAATCTTCTATTTTTTGTTTGAATAAAAATTCAAAATAGAAAGCAAGAGTAATATCAGAGGAGCCTGGAGACGTGACTGATGAACAAGAAAATGTTATTTTAGAGCCAGGAATGTCTGCCTTGTTCATTCTGGACCCTATTTTGAAGTTTTCATATTTTACAATTTTCATGAAAAATTGGCCAAATTGCAAATTTCTGACCATGTTATTGGGTAGTTGAAATCAGTAAATGGGCAGTTTCTTGTACTCAATCGATAGAAAAAATGGAGTTCTAAAGAAATAGCTATGAGTTTGGTCGACTGGAACCATGGAATTAGCCAAAAATAGGGTTCAAAGTGGGCAAAATCGCCGATTCGTAAACATCGCCAAGGTCGTAACTTCGCAAGAGTGTAATTTCGTCAGTTTTCCATCAAATTTTGTTCTTATGGTGTCATTACAATCGGGAAATGATTCTCTATCATTGCATAAGAAAAAATAATTTTTTTTCTCGGAAATTTTGCGACACCAGGAGACACCTCAGGATTTGGGGTTGCAACAGTCAAGGGGTTAACACTTCCTCAAAATATTCCCTCCATCTTCCTGATACCTCTAACTCTCCATTTAATAACTATCCTCTCCTACTTTTAACTGTCAAATCCATTTGTTCCCTAGGCTTCCTCAACTTATTAATCTCACTCCAAAACCTTTTCTTATTTTCAACAAAATTTGTTGATAACATCTCACCCATCTCTACTACTAATAGTAATAATAAATAACCCACACATAAGAGATTGAAACATATAACAACATTTCAGTCTGACTTGTACCACTAACTAGTCATAAAGAAGTGTGAAGGGAAGAGAGCCAGAATATATACAAGAAAGGGGCAGGGACATGAGTTGTGTAAAGAGAGTAGGGAATAATATTAGTAATACTATTATTCTTTCTTTCTTTCAACACACCGGCCGTATCCCACCGAGGCGGGGTGGCCCAAAAGGAAAAACGAAAGTTTCTCCTTTTACATTTAGTAATATATACAGGAGAAGGGGTTACTAGCCCCTTGCTCCTGGCATTTTAGTCGCCTCTTACAACACGCATGGCTTACGGAGGAAGAATTCTGTTCCACTTCCCCATAGAGGTAAGAGAAAATAAACAAGGACAAGAACTAGAAAGAAAACCAGAGGGGTGTGTATATATATGCTTGTACATGCATGTGTACTGTGACCTAAGTGTAAGTAGAAGTAGCAAGATGTACCTGAAATCTTGCATGTTTATGAGACAGAAAAGAGACACCAGCAATCCTACCATCATGTAAAACAAGTACAGGCTTTCACTTTACACTCATTTGGCAGCACGGTAATACCTCCCTCGGCAGTTGCTACCTACCAACCTACTACCCAGGACTAATGACTTATCTCAGCTTTAAAAAACAAATTTATATTTTCAATGAAAAAACACATAAGACTTTTAACTATTTAGCATTCCAAGGCATTGTAGAGGATCCACATGTATTGTGACTGGAAAATTCTAGAGCCTTAATGAAAACATGAAATTGTTGATACTGCCTTTAGCCACTACATCTCACATCCCAAAGAATGTGATCAGCTGTGAAAAAAAATGCAGTTCTAGACTTGGGAGAGTATTTTCAATTCATTTGTCATCTCTCCTATATAGGAATAATGAGTGGACTAAAAAATTTGCAGGAAAAACTATGAGTTACAACAGAACTTGCAGGAGTAAACCAATATGACATACCAGAAGCACATCCAAATCCTTCATCATTTTGATGAAAAAACAGTATAGGTTTAATGTATTCTCTTATGTACAGTTTATTTGGATAACAAATAAGTAGAGGACTCACCCAAACCATCCTCCAGCCTAATATACGCATTTGTCGGAGAAGTGGACCTTCAAATCTGGATACACTATGGTGGAAACTGCGTACTGGCTGTACCTTCAGCACTTGTTGCATCTGCTGCGTCTGAGCCAGTTCATAAGCAGTTTGACCTGTGTAAATACAGAAATGTGATTATCTAGTCATAGCTGATCTATAAACCTCTCCTGTATAAACTAATAAATGTAAAAAAAAGAAGAAAAACTTTATAAAGTTTGCTTCTTTTTTGGGTCACCTTGCCTTAGTGGAAAATGGCTGGTATGATAAAAAAAGAAGAGTGACCTATAATCTGACTGAAAACTTGAGAAAATTACAAAAATTATGCCAGTGTAATTTGTTTACAAGTAAAAGGTCACAGGTTTAAACTTTGGGCAGGGTGACATGAGAAAAAGTCTCTTCACATCAACTGCTCCACTTCACCCAACAGTCAACAAGTGCAATATGTGAGGATCTTTTTTTTATTTTTTTCACTGCACTGGACATCTCCCACCAAGGTAAGGCGACCCCCCCCCCCCCCCAAAAAAAAAAAATGCCCTCACCATCATTCATTCAATCACTGTTTTTCCAAAGGTATGCTGACATCACAGCACAGATGGCCCTCTAAAGTGCAAAATAACCATCTCTCCTTCAGAGTGCAGACACTGTACTTCCATCCCTCCTTCAGAGTGCAGACACTGTACTACCCACCTACACCCCTCCTTCAGAGTGCAGACACTGTACTACCCACCTACACCCATCCTTCAGAGTGCAGACACTGTACTACCTACCTACACCCCTCCTTCAGAGTGCAGACACTGTACTACCTACCTACACCCCTCCTTCAGAGTGCAGACACTGTACTACCTACCTACACCCCTCCTTCAGAGTGCAGACACTGTACTACCTACCTACACCCCTCCTTCAGAGTGCAGACACTGTACTACCTACCTACACCCCTCCTTCAGAGTGCAGACACTGTACTACCTACCTACACCCCTCCTTCAGAGTGCAGACACTGTACTACCTACCTACACCCCTCCTTCAGAGTGCAGACACTGTACTACCCACCTACACCCATCCTTCAGAGTGCAGACACTGTACTACCTACCTACACCCATCCTTCAGAGTGCAGGCACTGTACTACCCACCTACACCCCTCCTTCAGAGTGCAGACACTGTACTACCCACCTACACCCATCCTTCAGAGTGCAGACACTGTACTACCTACCTACACCCCTCCTTCAGAGTGCAGACACTGTACTACCCACCTACACCCCTCCTTCAGAGTGCAGACACTGTACTACCTACCTACACCCATCCTTCAGAGTGCAGACACTGTACTACCCACCTACACACCCCTCTCAGAGTGCAGACACTGTACTACCTACCTACACCCATCCTTCAGAGTGCAGACACTGTACTACCCACCTACACCCCTCCTTCAGAGTGCAGACACTGTACTACCCACATACACCCCTCTTTCAGAGTACAGGCACTGTACTGCCCACCTCCACCCATCCTTCAAAGTGCAGACACTGTAATACCCACCTACACCCCTCCTTCAGAGTGCAGGCACTGTACTGCCCACCTCCACCCATCCTTCAAAGTGCAGACACTGCACTTCCCACTTCCAGGACTCAAGTCCTGCTAATCAGTTTCCCTGAATCCCATCATAAATGTTATCTTGCTCACACTCCAACAGCACCTTAAATCATATAAACCATGTGCTTCCATTCTTACTCTTACACTCTTGCAAGCCTGTTGCATGCCCAAGCCACTAGCACTCAAAACCTCCCTTACAACCTTCCTTGAACCCTTTTTGGAATGGCCCCTACACTGACTCCTCACCCTCACCCCAGATTTACATGCTCTCAAGCAGTGATCTTGGATAAGACATGCGTAACCAATTCTCAGTCTACAGAGAATCATCTCAAAAGCGATGATTCTTGTTTAAGCAACTTTGCAGTGTACTTTCACGTGGCTTTTATGGTTGTATTTCTCGTTTTCTTGGGCTCATTTGATAGAATGGATGATATTTTACAGAAATAGAGATGATTTTGATTAGTTTCAACACTGAAAGTAGCTTGAAATTGAGCTTAAAGTAGTGGAAATGTTTAATTTTTGCCAATAATCCAGAGTACACAGATTACATCATTCGTCCAATACCCGTCCAACTGGCCTGTCTAATACGTCTTCACAAATGCGCTGACATTATTTATACAATTATTACAATAACGCAGCAGTCTGCATAAGAGTAAATTTTCTAATTTTTTTGTGTAAATATCAGTAGTATCAGTTATCATTAGTATCAGTAGTATGTGCCTCATACATAACCATTGGTGAATCACTCAATGACCATTACATGACTCACTGCTGACCTTAGCATGACATCATGAGTCACCCTTTGAATGCCGTACCCTTGGGCACTGGCCTCAGTTTCCATCGAGATATTGCAGAGTAGAAAGGTCAGGCCAAAGCTCTGAGTGCTCCCTTTATCATCTTATTATACCAAGACATCCAACATTAGTGTTATTTACTCCAGATCCATCAACGAACCCCCACGACATAAATAAAAACTCAAAATGGAAAGTAAGCGTAATATAGGAATGGCCTGAGGATATAACTAATTATTTATTTTATTATCACACTGGCCGATTCCCACCAAGGCAGGGTGGCCCGAAAAAGAAAAACTTTCACCATCATTCACTCCATCACTGTCTTGCCAGAAGGGTGCTTTACACTACAGTTTTTAAACTGCAACATTAACACCCCTGGGAATGTCTACATTGTTTATTCTGGACCCTATTTTAAACTGGCATTTTTTAAATTTTGTGAAATTGGCCAAATTACCAATTTCTGATCACTTTATTGGGTAGTTGAAACAGGCAAATGGTTTCTTGTATCCACTCAATAGAATAGAAGGAATACTAGCAAAATAGCTATGAGTTTGGTTGACTGAAACAATAGAATTGGCTGAAAATATGGCTCAAAAGTGGGCAGAATTGCCAATGCGTAATATTGCCGAGACTGCTAACTTTGCAAAAGCGTAATTCTGCAAGTTTTCTATAAAAAATTGTACTTTTCGATTCATTAACTTTGAAAAAATATTCTCTATCATTTCATAAGAAAAAATCTTTTGTTTTTTTAAATTCTTCAACCCTGAGAGCAAGTTTGAGATCAGGGAACCCAACCCTGAAAGGGTTAATGAGAGCCAGTGGCACACATCATGTCGTACCCACTACAGGAGGGCCCCGTTTGTATGGCTCTTAGGTTCCTGACCATGGGCAATAAGCAAAAATTTCCAGTGGGAGGAAAAGTATTTTTAACATCACACGTGTCTAAAATGCCTGATAAGGTGTTTACACCATCATATATTAAATGCTCAACACAGCTAGGCATAAAAAACAGATAAAGAATTAAAATAAATACACCATACATACAATACCTAACCTTAAAATGAAGCGTTGGTTACCCTTCCCTTATGCAACTGTTTTATGAAAATAGCAGAAAAACTGTAAAAACATGGAACACCAAAAAGAGGGTGAAGAATACACAGGGCCTTCCTGTTCAGCTGACTGCTCTTCTACAGAACCCTTGGACTCTTACTTACCCAAAGCTTCGGTTGAACAGCAAAACACAAGGCTTACCATTTAAATTTCTGATAGAGGGATCACAGCCATTTTGTAAGAGTATGACAGCAACATCTATGTGGCCACGGTAAGCAGCAGAGTGTAGACTAGTGTTACCCAGAGCGTCCACACAGTTCACATTTGGTGCTCCGGCTTCTCGTAACTGCAGTAAAAAAAAATATCATAAGCTGCTGTACAGTATAATTCTCAAAAACAAAATAAAAAGTCAAAACACATCAGCATGTATTATTATTATAATCAAAAAGAAGTGCTAAACCACAAGGGCTATACAGCGCTGCACATCAGCATGTAAATCTTCACTTCTATCAAGCAAAAAATTAAATGTGAAGCTTTATGTGCAACTATCACAAATGTTTATTATGTGTAATACATCTTTTACTACCAGTTTATTCATTTGTTACCTATCCAATATAAATTTTATTTTTTAAATTATAGTACAGGTGCTCCTCGACTTACGATGGTTCGACCTGTAATATTTCAACTTTACGATGATGCAAAAGCAACTAGTTACAGTAAGTATTTGTTTATTTACATATTCAGTGACAGTAGTCATTTAGTTACTTATTTATTTAGTATATCACATTCATATCAGACTTATAATATTTTTGACTTACAATGAGTTCATCAGAATAATGTTATTTTAGCATTAAGTAACATCGACTGGCAGAGTGAGCTAGAAGTCAACCTCGATACTGATTGTGTCAAAATTTTCTTACAAAAAAAAAAAAAAACCTCAACAACAGGCATTGCCCAATAAAAACAAAGCAGATCACAGCAAAGAGACTAAACAGCCCCTGGCTTACAAACAGCATCCTCAAATTCATTGATAAAAAAATTTATGAAAATGAAAATTAAAATGAATATGTTTATTTCCTTTCAAAGCGTACAATGTGTGTGGTTTACATTTTACAAAATATTAATTACAAACAAAGCCACTAGCATGTCTAGGCATTTCGGGCAGACTAATCCTATATGAAAAACCCTATATGAAAATCGTACATAAAAAACAGTACAGAATGGATCTAATAACTACGGATCTGACAAAACGTTACTCATCAATACTTACTAATCTAATAAGGAGGTCTAAAAAATGTATTACGAAAACAGATTTTATGACATATAATAATAATAATAATAATAATAATAATAATAATAATAATAATAATAATAATAATACAGTCGTAAGTCGAGTTTCGAACAGCTCGCAACTCGAACAATTATGTAAGTGCAATTTTTTAAGTGCTTCTGTAAGTGTATTTTTGGGGGGTCTGAAATGGACTAATCTAATTTACATTATTCCCTATGGGAACAAATTCATTCTGTATCAGTGCTAGAACAGCCTTCTGGAACGAATTAAGTTTGTAATTCGAGGAACCACTGTATCTTTATTTACTATAAGTACATGTACATGGCATACAGGCCTAGCTGACATCAATGACATACTACTATGTAGAAAGCTCCTTGTTATGCTAAGCATTTCGGGCAAATTAGATCAGTTTTGTCCCAGGATGCAACCCACACCAGTCAACTAACACTCAGGTACCCATTTTGAACTGATGGGTGAACAGGGACAGGGACAGCATGTGTCTTATGGTAACACGTCCCTAATGTTTTCCAGCCATACCAGAGGAGATTCAAGTCCCAGACCTCAGTGTGTGAGCTGAGTGCACTAGTGATCGAGCTACAGGACATGAAATGGGATATGAAAAAGACCTGGAAAACCCTATCTGAAATTCTAGTATCTAAAAAGCCGTCTTGAAATAGGGTGATTAACTTAACGAAACCAGAAGAACCTCTCCTCCTGCCAACAGATACTGCCAACAAACTAAATGTCTTTTTCTTGATCATAGGAACAAGGCTAGCAAACAAAATCCAAAACATAAACACTCAGCCAAAAGACTACCTCACTGGTAACTACCCAAATACTCGATTTCTAGCACCAACAAACCCTACAGAAATCTCACTCATCATCAAAACACTAAAGAACAAGACAGAAGACCTAAATAACTTACCACCACTCATGTACTAAAAAGCTTCTCATTTGTTGTCACCAATTATTGCAGCTCTTTTTAACAAATCTATTGAATCTTCCACCTTCCCATCCATACTCAAGACAGCAAGGGCTACCCTGATCCTCAAAGGAGGTGATCCAATTGAATAACTCTAGACCTATATCAAATTTGCCCCTACTATCTAAAATCTTCAAAAAATTAATTCACAAACAAGTCTACTCCTACTTAGTATCCCACAACATATTTAACCCCTGTCAGTTTGGATTTAGGCCAAAAAAAGTACTAATGATGCAATTATACATATGCTTGAACTTCTATATACAGCACTCCAAAAAAATGAAATTCCCCTGGGACTTTTCATAGACCTACAAAAAGCTTTTGATACAGGTGACCATGACCTATTGCATCTAAAACTTGAACATTACAGGATCAGAGAACTCTCTCAATTATTTAAAAATCTTATCTTAGCAACAGAAACCAGTACATACACACAAATGGCATTAACTCCACTACATAACCTGTTCTTGTTGAAGTCCCACATAGGAGTGTCCTAGGCCCACTTCTCTGTCTCATTTGCATCAATGACCTCCCAAATGCATCTAAACTCCTTAAACCCATTTTATTTACAGATAACACTACTTATCTCCATGGGGAAGTGGAACAGAATTCTTACTCCGTAAGCCATGCGTGTCGTAAGAGGTGACTAAAATGCCGGGAGTAAGGGGCTAGTAACCCCTTCTCCCGTATAAATTACTAAATTTAAAAAGAGAAATTTTCGTTTTTCTTTTTGGGCCACCCAGCCTTGGTGGGATACGGCCGGTTTGCTGAAAAAAAAAAAAACACTACTTATGTCTTCTCTCACCCAAACCCAACTATACTAACAGACACTGTTAAAGACGAACTACTAAAAATACCCACCTAGATAACTACGAACAAACTTACTTTCAATATAGACAAAACAACTTCATGCTGTTTGGAAATAGAGTTTCATCCATTTCAAGACACACAGAGGGAAAACTTCTAGGTCTCCACCCTGATTGCAGTCTCAAATTCCAGACCCACATACAGCAAATATTCAAGAAAGTCTCCAAAACTGTAGGCATCCTTTCTAAGATATGGACCTATGTACCCCAAATGGCACTTCTTGTTCTTTACCAGTCTCTCATCTACCCTTACTTCACCTATGGTATTTGTGCATGGGGCTCAACCACAGCAAATCACCTAAAACCTTTAATAACCCAACAAAAAGCTGTTGTGCGACTGATTATATTACCAACTCCTGCACAAGACAGCACAATACACCACTTTTTAAGAGCCTAAACTTGCTTAACCCTTTCAGGGTCCGTCCCGTAGATCTACGGCTTTACGTTCAGGGTCCAAACCGTAGATCTACGCCATGAGCTCAGCTCACTCTGATAAACTGTGAGTGGTAAATTTGAGCCTAGATATGAGAGAATACATCTATGTGGTATGTGTGCACCACATAAAACAAATCCTGCAGCACACTGTGTATAATGAGAGAAAAAAAACTGAGACCGTAATTTTCGATTAAAACAGCGACTTTGCAGTGTTTTTTGTATGTTTTTTATAGTTGTATTTGCGATTTCTTGGCCTCATTTGATAGAATGGAAGACATATTACAGAAATAGAGATGATTTTGATTGGTTTTAGCACTGAAAATGGCTTGAAACTGAGCTCAAAGTAGCGGAAATGTTAAATTTTTGGCGATGTTCAAGAGTAAACAAACGACCTCACACGTCTAATACACGCCAGCTGGTGGGTCTAATATACATTCACAAGTATGGTGATGATATTTATACAATTATTACAATATTGCATAACAGTAAATCTTCTATTTTTTGGTGTGAATAAAAATTCATTATGTGAATAAAAAATCAAAATGGAATTTATTTGTAAAGAATCAAAACATAACTAATGAACAGAAGAAATGTTAGTTTAGTTCCAGGAATACCTACATTGTTTATTCTGGACCCTATTTTGAAATTGAAATATTTTGAACTTTGTGTTAAATTGGCCAAATTACCAATTTCCGATCACTTTATTTTGTAGTTGAAACAGTTGACTTGGCGATTCCTTGTGCTCAATCGATAGAATAGAAGTAATACTAGTGAAATAGCTAAGAATTTGGTCGACTGGAATAATGTAATTGGCCTAAAATGGGAGTCAAAGTGGGCAAAATTGTCGATTCGTAAATATTGCTGACACATCAAAATTCGCGAGAGCATAATTTCGTCAATTTTCCATCAATTTTCGTAATTTTTGTTTTATTACCTTCAAAAAAAGATTCTCTACCATTTCATAAGAAAAAATAACAATTTTTTTTTAAATTCTTGGACACTGGGGCACCACTTCAGATTTTGGCCTTGGACCCTGAAAGGGTTAATATATAAAATATCCACACCTATTATTCTGCCTACTACATGCTCAGAACATGGCCTCAATGGTCCAGTGTTTCATCATCAGTCAGACCATGTACCCCTCTATGGTCCAGTGTTTCATCATCAGTCAGACCATGTACCCCTCTATAGTCCAGTGTTTCATCATCAGTTGGACCATGTACCCCTCTATGGTCCAGTGTTTCATCATCAGTTGGACCATGTACCCCTCTCTGGTCCAGTGTTTCATCATCAGTTGGACCATGTACCCCTCTATAGTCCAGTGTTTCATCATCAGTTGGACCATGTACCCCTCTATGGCCCAGTGTTTCATCATCAGTTGGACCATGTACCCCTCTATGGCCCAGTGTTTCATCATCAGTTGGACCATGTACCCCTCTATGGTCCAGTGTTTCATCATCAGTTGGACCATGTACCCCTCTATGGCCCAGTGTTTCATCATCAGTTGGACCATGTACCCCTCTATAGTCCAGTGTTTCATCATCAGTTGGACCATGTACCCCTCTATGGTCCAGTGTTTCATCATCAGTTGGACCATGTACCCCTCTATGGCCCAGTGTTTCATCAGTTGGACTATGTACCCCTCTATGGTCCAGTGTTTCATCATCAGTTGGACCATGTACCCCTCTATGGCCCAGTGTTTCATCAGTTGGACCATGTACCCCTCTATGGCCCAGTGTTTCATCATCAGTGGGACCATGTACCTCTTTATGGTCCAGTGTTTCATCATCAGATGGACCATGTACCTCTTTATGGTCCAGTGTTTCATAATCAGTTGGACCATGTACCCCACTATGGTCCAGTGTTCCATCATCAGTTGAACCATGTACGTACTCCTCTATGGTCCCTATGGTCCAGTGTTTCATCATCAGTTGAACCATGTACCCCTCTATGGCCCAGTGTTTCATCATCAGTGGGACCATGTACCTCCTTATGGTCCAGTGTTTCATCATCAGTTGGACCATGTACCTCTTTATGGTCCAGTGTTTCATACTCAGTTGGACCATGTACCCCACTATGGTCCAGTGTTCTATCATCAGTTGAACCATGTACATACTCCTCTATGGTCCCTATGGTCCAGTGTTTCATCATCAGTTGGACCACGTACCCCACTATGGTCCAGTGTTCCATCATCAGTCAGACCATGTCTTCCTCCTCCTCCTCCTCCTCCTCCTCCTCCTCCTCTTCTTCTCTGGATATCCTCACATTTGTTACTATGTCATAATCTTTAAGAAAGATAGCAGATGTCATCACTGTTATTAGTGTAACAAACACTCTCCAGTAATCTACTAAACACACGCTCAACAAAGGCTTTCCATACGCCCAAAATACTCTGCATGCTGGTCTCTTTCTTTGGTGCATAATAATATTTTAATACATGTAAGGTAGATTAATTATGCACTAAATTTGAATCACTGACATACCGCAGAAGCTCAAGCTGAAACGCCGTTCAAGTCAAATATATTAAATTCAAGAAAAGGAGGGCAATGGCTTTGTTAATCACTAGATAAGTAGTAGTAATAATAATAATAAAAATAAAAAAAATAATAATAATAATAATAATAATAATAATAATAATAATAATAATAATAATAATAAATAATAATACTATCAAATATATTAAGTTCAAGAAAAGGAGGGCAATGGCTTTGTTAATCACTAGATAAGTAGTAATAATAATAATAATAATAATAATAATAATAATAATAATAATAATAATAATAATAATAATAATAATAATATTTATTTCTACAAGTACATGATACAACTCATACAGACCATAACTGACACCAATGACATACTATATAAAAAGTCCCTGGTTATGCAGAGCATTCTGGGCAACTTAGGTTAATTTTGTCAGCAGGAAGACCCACACCAGTCAACTAACACCCAGGTATGTATTTACTGACAAGTGAACAGGGATAGAAGGTGTCTTAATGAAATATACCTAATGTTTCCACCCATACCAGGAATCGAACCACAGACCTTAATGTGTGAGCTGAGTGCACTAATCTAGCTATGACCCTACTCATATTATTATTAAAGAAGAATAGAAAAACCAGGTGGGGTTCGAATCCATGGCAAGTGAGTGCTAAACTCATAGGCTAGTGTTGTAACCACTGGGCCACCTGCCTCTAGTATAACTCATCCAACTAAGTATATTTCTATAAGCACTAGCTTCATTTCCAGGACTTACTTGCCATGAGTTCAAATCCCCACCCTTTCCCTGGCTTGTCTGCAATCATGTGATTATGATTTCCTGAGTTAAAAAAATTAAAAAGTGTTTCTTACCAAATTTGTTACTTCTTCAGCTTTTCCTTCTCTTGCATGATGCAGGAGTCTCTCCTCTTTTCTTCTCTGTTCAGTCTTCTCTGCTGCTACTATCAGCTTGGTTACCTGTAGTATTAACTTTAGCTATAATGGAAGCTTATTGGTTATACCTATTTAACTTGTCCTCCCAAGCAATTGTGAGAATTTCATTCACTCAAGACTGTTGGCACTATGACTCTGGCACTACAATGTGACTGGCACTACAATGTGACTCTAGCACTACAATGTGACTCTGGCACTACAATGTGACTTGTGCCACAAAACATTCTCAGCCATGCATTGCTCCATTTACAGTGAACCCTCGGTTTTTGAATATTATTCGTCCCAGATGTCAATGCAACAACCAAAATCAGTGACAACCAAAGCAATTTTTTCCACAAAAAATAATATAAATAGAAATAATCCATTCCAGACCCCAAACGACAATATAATAATATATTAATAACTCTTATATGGGTGTGAAGCTTGGGTTGTAAATGCTGCAGCGAGGAGACGGTTAGAGGCAGTGGAGATGTCCTGTCTAAGGGCAATGTGTGGTGTAAATATTATGCAGAAAATTCAGAGTGTGGAAATTAGGAGAAGGTGTGGAGTTAATAAAAGTATTAGTCAGAGGGCTGAAGAGGGGTTGTTGAGGTGGTTTGGTCATTTAGAGAGAATGGAGCAAAGTAGAATGACATGGAGAGCGTATAAATCTGTAGGGGAAGGAAGGCGGGGTAGGGGTCATCCGTGAAAAGGTTGAAGTGAGGGGGTAAAGGAGGTTTTGTGGGCGAGGGGCTTGGACTTCCAGCAAGCGTGCATGAGCGTGTTAGATAGGAGTGAATGGAGACGAATTGTATTTGGGCCCTGATGAGCTGTTGGAGTGTGAGCAGGGTAATATTTAGTTAAGGGATTCAGGGAAACCAGTTATATTTATATAGCCGGACTTGAGTCCTGGAAATGGGAACTACAATGCCTGCATTTTAAAAGAGGGGTTTTGGATATTGGCAGTTTGGAGGGATACGTTGTATATCTTTATACGTATATGCTTCTAAACTGTTGTATTCTGGGCACCTCTGCAAAAACAGTGATTATGTATGAATGAGTTGAAAGTGTTGAATGAAGATGAAAGTATTTTCTTTTTGGGGATTTTCTTTCTTTTTGGGTCACCCTGCCTCGGTGGGAGACGGCCGACTTGTTAAAAAAAAAATTAATAACTACTACATAAAACAATGTATAAAATTATACAGTACACGGAAACTGTGAAAATGAATAATAAAGGAAAATTTAAATGAAATACTGTACAGTAAATGAAAATTTACCTGCCCCTTACCTGTCAGAGGAAAGCTAATGGCATACTGGAAGCAGGTGGAGGAGAGGAGGGGGTATGTTATTGCTTGGAAGGAGAATCACCTTCTATTAATATGTCAGGCAACTGTCCTTCTGGTGTTTTTCCTTTTCTTTCTCTCTTTTTCACCACTAACACCTTGTTTTGGCTCACTGGTTCTTTGTCTCACTGAAACCTTATCCAGTGAAGCTTGTTTCAGGCTCTGTTTTAACACTTGTCTAAACTGAGACATTACACTGTCATTGTGCACGTTAGAGAGATAGATGGCCACTGCTTTGTCTGGATGGTAATTTTCAGCAAACTCCTGTACTTTCTTCATGATGGCTTATCTCACAATAAAAAAAAAATTGCACCAAAACTGCAAAATAACAAAAAAAGTTCACAAGATGCACAACAAGAGCTCAAGAGATGTTTACAGCACACGAGTTAGTGGCTATACTGACTCATATCCATGCTCTCAACCCACTGTCCAGTGCACATTCTGTGAGTGCGTGACCTGAGCCACTTTGTCCCATTCTGTACATGTAAAAACTTGTCTGTCAACAACTGAGAGAACGTACGAAAACCAGGATATTTTTTTCTCAAATGCCTCCTTCGAAAACCGATTTATTCGACAAGTAATGCAACTGACAACCGAGATTCCACTGTATTTGTATTAACTTATGTTACAAGTGATTAAATTTGATTAACTGAAGTTTATCTAACTCACCTATCCTAAATAGAGCAAGTCAAGAAATGGCCATAAACATTTAAAGTACATAAAACACCAATGTTGGAGTTAGGAGGCCATGCTGGCTTATCCAATATGATGAGTACAAAATATATAAATACAGGTGTCCCTCATGTGAGTACATGTGTCCCTCATGTGAGTACGTGTGTCCCTCATGTGAGTACAGGTGTCCCTCATGTGAGTACATGTGTCCCTCATGTGAGTACATGTGTCCCTCATGTGAGTACATGTGTCCCTCATGTGAGTACATGTGTCCCTCATGTGAGTACATGTGTCCCTCATGTGAGTACAGGTGTCCCTCTTGTGAGTACAGGTGTCCCTCATGTGAGTACATGTGTCCCTCATGTGAGTACATGTGTCCCTCATGTGAGTACGTGTGTCCCTCATGTGAGCACATGTGTCCCTCATGTGAGTACGTGTGTCCCTCATGTGAGTACGTGTGTCCCTCATGTGAGCACATGTGTCCCTCATGTGAGTACGTGTGTCCCTCATGTGAGTACGTGTGTCCCTCATGTGAGCACATGTGTCCCTCATGTGAGTACATGTGTCCCTCATGTGAGTACATGTGTCCCTCATGTGAGTACATGTGTCCCTCATGTGAGTACATGTGTCCCTCATGTGAGTACATGTGTCCCTCATGTGAGTACGTGTGTCCCTCATGTGAGTACGTGTGTCCCTCATGTGAGTACATGTGTCCCTCATGTGAGTACGTGTGTCCCTCATGTGAGTACGTGTGTCCCTCATGTGAGCACATGTGTCCCTCATGTGAGTACATGTGTCCCTCATGTGAGTACATGTGTCCCTCATGTGAGTATGTGTGTCCCTCATGTGAGCACATGTGTCCCTCATGTGAGTGCATGTGTCCCTCATGTGAGCACATGTGTCCCTCATGTGAGCACATGTGTCCCTCATGTGAGCACATGTGTCCCTCATGTGAGTACATGTGTCCCTCATGTGAGTACAGGTGTCCCTCAGTTTATGCTATAGTTGTGATCCAGTCTTTAACCCTTAAACTGTCCAAACGTAGATCTACGTTTTTTCAACATTTGAAAGTAATGTAAAAAAAGTAGATCTTCTTTTCTATTTTTACATTTTTTTTTTGTTATATTTGAAGATATGAAAAAAAAAACATAGATCTACTTTTGGAGCATTACACATGTGAATGTAGATCTGCTTGGACAGTTTAAGGGTTAAAAAATGTACTAACATGCAAATCATAACCCTTTACTTAAACACAATAAAACCCTTCAATGCTCTTTGCACACACTGATCCTTGATTACATATACATACACAACTGCTGATAGATATAGGTCTTTTTTTTTAACCCTTTCAGGGTCCAGAGGCTAAATTTCATATTGCGCACCAGTGTCCAAGAATTTTCAAAAAATAATTTTGTTATTTTTTTCTTATGAAATGGTAGAGAATCTTTTTCTGAAGGTAATAAAACAAAAAGTATGAAATTTGATGGAAAATTGACGAAATTATGCTCTCGTGAATTTTGATGTATTAGCGATATTTACGCATCAGCGATTATGCCGACTTTGACTACCATTTTAGGCCAATTATATTACTCCAGTCGACCAAATTCTTAGCTATTTCATTAGTTATTATTTTATTATCACACTGGCCGATTCCCACCAAGGCAGGGTGGCCCGAAAAAGAAAAACTTTCACCATCATTCACTCCATCACTGCCTTGCCAGAAGGGTGCTTTACACTACAGTTTTTAAACTGCAACATTAACACCCCTCCTTCAGAGTGCAGGCACTGTATTTCCCATCTCCAGGACTCAAGTCCGGCCTGCCGGTTTCCCTGAACCCCTTCATAAATGTTACTTTGCTCACACTCCAACAGCACGTCAAGTATTAAAAACCATTTGTCTCCATTCACTCCTATCAAACACGCTCACGCATGCCTGCTGGAAGTCCAAGCCCCTCGCACACAAAACCTCCTTTAACCCTTCCCTCCAACCTTTCCTAGGCCGATCCCTACCCCGCCTTCCTTCCAGTACAGACTGATACACTCTTGAAGTCACTCTGTTTCGCTCCATTCTCTCTACATGTCCAAACCACCTCAACAACCCTTCCTCAGCCCTCTGGACAACAGTTTTGGTAATCCCGCACCTCCTCCTAACTTCCAAACTACGAATTCTCATTAGTATTACTTCTATTCTATCGACTGAGCACAAGAAATTGCCAAGTCAACTGTTTCAACTACAAAATAAAGTGATTGGAAACTGGTAATTTGGCCAATTTAATGCAAAGCTCAAAATATTCTAATTTCAAAATAGGGTCCAGAATAAACAATACAGGCATTCCTGGAACTAAACTAACATTTCCTCTATTCATCAGTTATGTTTTCAGGCTTTACACATGAATTCTATTTTGATTTTTTATTCACATAATGAATTTTTATTCAAACCAAAAAATAGAAGATTTACTGTTATGCAATACTGTAATAATTGTATAAATAATATCACCACATTTGTGAACGTATATTAGACCCACCAGCTGGGTGGGTCATTTGTTTACTCTTGAACATCGGCAAAAATTTAACATTTCTGCTATTTTGAGCTCAGTTTCAACCCATTTCCATTAATAAAACCAATCAAAATCATCTCTATTTCTGTAATATATCTTCCATTCTATCAAATGAGACCAAGAAATCGCAAATACATCTATAAAAAACATACGAAAAAAGACCGCAAAGTCGCTGTTTTAATCGAAAATTACGGTCTCAGTTTTTTCTCTCATTATGCACTGTGTGCTGCAAGATTTGTTTTATGTGGTGCACACATACCACACAGCTGTATTCTCTAATATCTAGGCCCAAATTTACTGCTCACAGCTTATTAGAGTGAGCTGAGCTCATGGCGTAGATCTACGGTTTGGACCCTCAACATATAGCCGTAGATCTACGGCACAGACCCTCATAGGGTTAACACATCAGTTGTTTCTCAGTGAAGCAGGTGACCCAAAAAAGAACACTTTTACCATCACTCACTCTATTGTTGTCTTGCCAGAGGCACACCCATACTACAGTTAAAAAACTGCAACATCAACACCCATCCTTCAGAGTGCAGGTACTGTACTTCCCATCACCACCACCACCCATCCTTCAGAGTGCAGGTACTGTACTTCCCACCACCACCCATCCTTCAGAGTGCAGGTACTGTACTTCCCATCACCACCCATCCTTCAGAGTGCAGGTACTGTACTTCCCACCACCACCACCACCCATCCTTCAGAGTGCAGGTACTGTACTTCCCACCACCACCCATCCTTCAGAGTGCAGGTACTGTACTTCCCACCACCACCCATCCTTCAGAGTGCAGGTACTGTACTTCCCACCACCACCACCATCCATCCTTCAGAGTGCAGGTACTGTACTTCCCACCACCACCACCACCCATCCTTCAGAGTGCAGGTACTGTACTTCCCACCACCACCACCACCCATCCTTCAGAGTGCAGGTACTGTACTTCCCACCACCACCACCATCCATCCTTCAGAGTGCAGGTACTGTACTTCCCACCACCACCCATCCTTCAGAGTGCAGGTACTGTACTTCCCACCACCACCACCATCCATCCTTCAGAGTGCAGGTACTGTACTTCCCACCACCACCCATCCTTCAGAGTGCAGGTACTGTACTTCCCACCACCACCCATCCTTCAGAGTGCAGATACTGTGCTTCCCACCCTCCAGGACTCAAGTGTGGCTAACCAGTTTCCCTGAACCCCTCCATAAGCACAAATTTGCATAAAGTGAGGGAGAGCTTTATATAATAATATTAAGCATCAAGTACAGCACATATGCAGTTCAGGGAACAAAAATATCTCAAATTAAATGAGCTACATCTTTAGCTTTAGTTTAAAACAAACTGCAATGCAGCAGGGCCCTAGTTTCCATTATTTACACTTTCATAAAAAATATTTTTAAGTTGGGTGTTTGGAAGTCAAAACCAGTCAATACCTGCAGCAGTGTTTACATACCAGTCAATACCTGCAGTGTTTACATACCAGTCAATACCTGCAGTGTTTATATACCAGTCAATACCTGCAGTGTTTACATACCAGTCAATACCTGCAGTGTTTACATACCAGTCAATACCTGCAGTGTTTACATACCAGTCAATACCTGCAGTGTTTACATACCAGTCAATACCTGCCATGTTTACATACCAGTCAATACCTGCAGTGTTTGCATATGCTGCTGTGTATAATAATTTATTTATGTGTATGTTTACCTTAATAAACTGACTGAATGACTTCACATATTGACTTGACTGACTGACCTACTGACTTGACTGACTGACTTACTGATTGGATTGACTGACCTACTGACTGACTGTACCAACTGACTATAGTGACTTGACTGACTATAGTGACTTGACTGACTATAGTGACTTGACTTACTGACTGGACAGAGTGACTTACTGATTTGACTAACTGTAGTTAGTGAATACCAACCGAATGAGGGAATGAGACTAAAAGTGAGAAAGGATGATGTGAGATGAGATGCTCGAGCTAAGACGCGCTGCCGTTTCCATGACCAAAGTTCTTGTACAGCTTACAATACCGACTGGTTGGAGAGCTGGCCGTAAGTCCGAGCAGTCATTAAACAGATAGATCATTAAGTCAGGAGTACCTGTATGCACTGTGTGCTGCAGGATTTTTTTTTTATATGGCGCACACTTACCGCACAGACCCATTTTCTCATATCTACACCCAAAATTTACCACTCACAGCTTATCTGAGTGAGCTGAGCTCATGGTGCTGTACTATAGGACCAACAATGGCTTCAAAGCCATCATATAATAGGACTGACACCAAAAAAGTTCATTTGGGTGCTGGACAGTTTAAGGATTAAAATAAACATGTACAAAATATTAATGCATTTGATAAAAAAAAAAACAGAAAAAATTGTTTAAATAATTTGTTTGAATAACTGCAATAATAGTAACTATGGATCAGTGTTTGCATGTAATTAATTGCTTCCAAAGTGCCAATGTTATAAAGGTAAAATACCATAAGTCAGGATACTACTGTATAAACAAATTATAAAAATAAAGAGTGTGGACATCTAGTGCACCCAAACATATGCCAAACAGAGATATACATCACTCAAAATATATTACATGTATATAGGTCATATCTATGTATGTATGGAAGAGGGTAAGGTACCTTGGGATTGGCAGAGAGCATGCATAGTTCCTTTGTATAAAGGCAAAGGGGACGAAAGAGAGTGCAAAAATTATAGGGGGATAAGTCTGTCGGTGGGAGACGGCCGACTTGTTGAAAAAAACAAAAAAAAAGTCTGTTGAGTATACCTGGTAAAGTGTATGGTAGAGTCATTATTGAAAGAATTAAGAGTAAGACGGAGAATAGGACAGAAGATGAACAAGGAGGCTTTAGGAAAGGTAGGGGGTGTGTGGACCAGGTGTTTACAGTGAAACATATAAGTGAACAGTATTTAGATAAGGCTAAAGAGGTTTTGTGGCATTTATGGATTTGGAAAAGGCATATGACAGGGTGGATAGGGGAGCAATGTGGCAGATGTTGCAGGTGTATTGTGTAGGAGGTAGGTTACTGAAAGCAGTGAAGAGTTTTTACGAGGATAGTGAGGCTCAAGTTAGAGTATGTAGGAAAGAGGGAAATTATTTCCCAGTAAAAGTAGGCCTTAGACAAGGATATGTGATGTCACCGTGGTTAATATATTTATAGATGGGGTTGTAAGAGAAGTAAATGCGAGGGTCTTGGCAAGAGGCGTGGAGTTAAAAGATAAAGAATCACACATAAAGTGGGAGTTGTCACAGTTGCTCTTTGTGATGACACTGTGCTCTTGGGAGATTCTGAAGAGAAGTTGCAGAGGTTGGTGGATGAATTTGGTAGGGTATGCAAAAGAAGAAAATTAAAAGTGAATACAGGAAAGAGTAAGGTTATGAGGTTAACAAAAAGATTAGGTGATGAAAGATTGGATATCAGATTGGAGGGAGAGAGTATGGAGGAGGTGATTGGAGGGAGAGAGTATGGAGGAGGTGAATGTATTCAGATATTTGGGAGTGGACATGTCAGCGGATGGGTCTATGAAAGATGAGGTGAATCATAGAATTGATGAGGGGAAAAGGGTGAGCAGTGCACTTAGGAGTCTGTGGAGACAAAGAACTTTGTCCTTGGAGGCAAAGAGGGGAATGTATGAGAGTATAGTTTTACCAACGCTCTTACATGGGTGTGAAGCATGGGTGATGAATGTTGCAGCGAGGAGAAGGCTGGAGGCAGTGGAGATGTCATGTCTGGGGGCAATGTGTGGTGTGAATATAATGCAGAGAATTCCTAGTTTAGAAGTTAGGAGGAGGTGCGGGATTACCAAAACTGTTGTCCAGAGGGCTGAGGAAGGGCTGTTGAGGTGGTTCGGACATGTAGAGAGAATGGACCAAAACAGAATGACTTCAAGAGTGTATCAGTCTGTAGTGGAAGGAAGGCAGGGTAGGGGTCGGCCTAGGAAAGGTTGGAGGGAGGGGGTAAAGGAGGTTTTGTGTGCGAGAGGCTTGGACTTCCAGCGGGCATGCGTGAGCGTGTTTGATAGGAGTGAATGGAGACAAATGGTTTTTAATACTTGACGTGCTGTTGGAGTGTGAGCAAAGTAACATTTATGAAGGGATTCAGGGAAACCAGCAGGCCAGACTTGAGTCCTGGAGATGGGAAGTATAGTGCCTGCACTCTAAAGGAGGGGTGTTAATGTTGCAGTTTAAAAACTGTATTATACGTAAAGCACCCTTCTGGCAAGACAGAGATGGAGTGAATGATGGTGAAAGTTTTTCTTTCTCAGGCCACCCTGCCTTGGTGGGAATCGGCCAGTGTGTTAATAAAAAAAAAAAATAAATATATCTATATAGATTAATACAAATTTATTATAATCACAAAAAAGGCATTAAACAAGTATAGTTCTACATCTATAAAATAACAAGGCTACACAAATTTCAAACTGAATCATCTTGATGCTTGACCTGTGAGTCTCGTGGCAGATCTGAGGGACGTAAACCTTCACCGTTGACGATGGACACACTGGCTCCGTGCTCTAACAGAAGCAGCACTACATCCTACAATTATAAATATTATTTAGTGTTTTAGCAAGCACTGACTGCGGTAAAATTTTCTTGCTTTTAGCAACATTAAATGTTAAACATTTATGTACAAAATAAAATATATTGTAAAAGTGTGTGTTTGATGAGAGTGAGTGGAGACAAGTGGTTTTTATGGCTTGATATAATGTTAGATTATTATTAAAGTAACATTTATGATGGATTCACTGTACATCCCACCTCTCATGACTCATTAAGCAGATATTACATACAACATTGCAGTCATCACTACTGGCTACCAATTCACCATATTCATTATTCACACACTGGATACACCTCACATTCACCACATTCATTATTCACACACTGGGTACACCTCACATTCACCATATTCATTATTCACACACTGGGTGCACCTCACATTCACCATATTCATTATTCACACACTGGGTACACCTCACATTCACCATATTCATTATTCACACACTGGGTACACCTCACATTCACCATATTCATTATTCACACACTGGGTACACCTCACATTCACCATATTCATTATTCACACACTGGGTACACCTCACATTCACCATATTCATTATTCGCACACTTGGGCTACTGCTGTAAAGCAAAAATCACTGTAAAATGAAACATAACCTTTTTTCACTTTCAAATGCATAAAAAGCCGAATAACATGTTTACACTATCATATATTAAGTGAACACCAGAGCTAGGCCAAAAAAAATGCATTTACAGTACACACATTACTTCTTTCTTTCAACACATCGGCCGTATCGCACCGAGGCGGGGTGGCCCAAAAGGAAAAACAAAAGTTTCTCCTTTTACATTTAGTAATATACAGGAGAAGGGGTTACTAGCCCCTTGCTCCCGGCATTTTAGTTGCCTCTTACAACATGCATGGCGTACGGAGGAAGAATTCTGTTCCACTTCCCCATGGAGATAAGTGGAAATAAACAAGAACTAGAAAGAAACACAAATAACCCGCATATAGAAGAGAGGAGCTTACGTCGTCGTAAGCTCCTCTCTTCTATGTACAGGTTATTTGTGTATCGTTCCAGTCATGGTGTTGTGCCTTTTTTGTTATTTAACTAGAAAGAAAATAGAAGAAAACCCAGAGGGGTATGTATATATACGCTTGTACATGTATGTGTAGTGTGACCTAAGTGTAAGTAGAAGTAGCAAGACGTACCTGAAATCTTGCATGTTCATGAGACAGAAAAAAGGACACCAGCAATCCTACCATTGTGTAAAACAATTACAGGCTTTCGTTTTACACTCACTTGGCAGGACGGTAGTACCTCCCTGGGCGGTTGCTGTCTACCAGCCTACTACCTAGGACACACATTACTTACCTTAAAATATTTTCTTCCCTAGTTAATGCAAAATGAGGCTCTCAGAATTATTCTTGGCTGTCCCAAACCTACAAAGGTTCTTAATATGAGGAAGGAGCTTGGCATTTCTAGTATCAGTGATAGGATTGTTGAGATTAACACTGTACTCGGTATTAGAATTTTAAGAAATGAGCTGGACACTGTCACAATGAATCTTACCAAGTGTCTAGAAGTAAATACACACAGATCTAAATGGATTGTGAAAACCTGCAACTGCATTAAGTTTTATAACCTGCACGAACTGTATCATTGTAGACAACAAGAGCATTTCACCCCTCCATGGAAGATGTTTTTTTTTTTTTTTTTATTATCACACTGGCCGATTTCCACCAAGGCAGGGTGGCCCGAAAAAGAAAAACTTTCACCATGATTCACTCCATCACTGTCTTGCCAGAAGGGTGCTTTACACTACAGTTTTTAAACTGCAACATTAACACCCCTCCTTCAGCGTGCAGGCACTGTACTTCCCATCTCCAGGACTCAAGTCCGGCCTGCCGGTTTCCCTGAACCCCTTCATAAATGTTACTTTGCTCACACTCCAACAGCACGTCAAGTATTAAAAACCATTTGTCTCCATTCACTCCTATCAAACACGCTCACGCATGCTTGCTGGAAGTCCAAGCCCCTTGCACACAAAACCTCCTTTACCCCCTCCCTCCAACCTTTCCTAGGCCGACCCCTACCCCGCCTTCCTTCCACTACAGACTGATGGAATGATGTGTTCATTTAATATCACATACCTGCAAGTCCCTCCCAAGAAGCTCATTGCTAGCAATCCCTTCCTTAAATCACTTGTTAAAGCAACTGCTCAAGAAGAAATCTCTGGCCTAGCTGGTAGTAATAAGTTATCACAAGTTATATACACTGATGGATCTAAACAGGAGTCTTCTGGTAGGGCTGCATATGCTCTTGTTGTCACCTCCCTAGTTAAGAACGATAATAAAATTGATGAAATTAAGACACATGTGCAACATCTGGGTATCTTTATTGTAGGTGCTCTTCACACCTACTCCAAGGTTGAGGGACTGATTACCTCATCTTCTGTATATAGTCCTTCTGTCTTCAAGTTATGTCCTAGAATTTGTATTGATAAAGCCACTGGATGGCGAAACGTCTACAATAAAGATACCCAGATGTTGCACATGTGTCTTAATTTCATCTTGTCGGTATTATATACCATTCTTGCACAACGATAATAAAATTGTTGAGTTAGGCATAAGAATTAACAACTGGGCATGTACAATGCAAACTGAATTGTTTGCAATCCTAATGGCGCTAAAGCTAACCTATGACACTGAGCTTGACTTGATCATCATTACTGATTCTATGTCATCATTGAAGGCTCTTGACTCATATAATGACTCCAACAACATGCTCATTGGAGAAGCCAGGTACAGATACTCAAAAATCAGGGACAAAGGAATTAATGTACAATTGCTATGGATCCCATCACATATTGGATTACTCCTTCATGATAAAGTCGATATGTTAGCCAAGAAGAGTATCCAGAAGGAGAATGTAGAATATATCTTTGGTATATCTGTGTCTAGCATTAGGAATAATATTAGGAGAGAGGTAAATAATGAAAATGATTGTTATAGGAATGTAGTTAGAAGCCTGAGTAGATCTATAACCCACTATGATAACATGAATGTAGATAAGTATGTTTATGGAGCAACTTGCAATGTGAACAGACTGACTGATGTTGTAGTGGCCAGGCTTAGGCTTGGTTACAAGTACTTCTGACAGTTTGGGAGACACACAGATGATGATCAAACTAAATGTAAATTATGTGATCAGGCATATGGTCACTGTCTTGAACACTTTGTGCTTAACCCCTTCAGGGTCCAAGGCCCAAATCTGAAGTGGTGCCCCAGTGTCCAAGAATTTTCAAAAAAAAAATTTGTTATTTTTTCTTATGAAATGGTAGAGAATCTTTTTGTGAAGGTAATAAAACAAAAAGTACGAAATTTGATGGAAAATTGACAAAATTATGCTCTCACGAATTTTGATGTGTCAGTGATATTTACGAATCTGCGATTTTGCCAACTTTGACTCCCATTTTAGGCCAATTACATTATTCCAGTCAACCAAATTCTTAGCTATTTCACTAGTATTACTTCTATTCTATCGATTGAGCACAAGAAATCGCCAAGTCAACTGTTTCAACTACAAATTAAAGTGATCGGAAATTGTTAATTTGGCCAATTTAACACAAAGTTCAAAATATTCCAATTTCAAAATAGGGTCCAGAATAAACAATGTAGGTATTCCTGAAACTAAACTAACATTTCCTCTGTTCATTAGTTACGTTTTGAGGCTTTACAAATAAATTCCATTTTGATTTTTTATTCACATAATGAATTTTTATTCACACCAAAAAAGAGAAGATGTACTGTTATGCAATATTGTAATAATTGTATAAATATCATCACCATATTTGTGAATGCATATTAGACCCACCAGCTGGCGTGTATTAGACGTGTGAGGTCGTTTGTTTACTCTTGAATATCGGCAAAAATTTAACAATTCTGCTACTTTGAGCTCAGTTTCAAGCCATTTCCAGTGCTAAAACCAATCAAAATCATCTCTATTTCTCTAATATGTCTTCCATTCTATCAAATGAGACCAAGAAATCGCAAATACAACTATAAAAACCATACGAAAAAACACTGCAAAGTCGCTGTTTTAATCGAAAAATCATGATTTCAGTTTTTTTTCTCTCATTATACACAGTGTGCTGCAGGATCTGTTTTATGTGGTGCACACATACCACATAGATGTATTCTCTCATATCTAGGCCCAAATGTACCACTCACAGTTTATCAGAGTGAGCTGAGCTCATGACATAGATCTACGGTTTGGACCCTGAACGTAAAGCCGTAGATCTACGGGACGGACCCTGAAAGGGTTAATTGTCCACTTATTGAGGAATACAGAGACAGACAGTATAATAACCTATGTAACATGTCAAGATATCTTATTAATGAAAATAAGATACCAGATATTTAGTACTAAGCAAATTTCCTAAATTTCCATGTAACAGATAAATGAACTTTAGATATGTAGATAAATAAAAACCCATATGTACACCTGTTAACCCTTTTGGGGCCTATTTCCTAGGCCTTTTGTGTACCCATATGCTCTTGCGCTACCGTCCACAGGGTGGATATGGGGTGCACAATAAACTAGCCACTTCGGTGGCAAAATCTAAAATCTAAATCCTAGCTTATAGTGAGTATTGAATATATTTATTGCAGGAAGTGTGACTAAGTGAAGAATGGGTGTAATTGAAAACTGCTGCATTAGCAAAACGCCGTACAGTAAAGCGCCATAAAGCGGAGCCAGCCTGTACTTAGAATATTACCGTACACTGGTGTAAAAATTAGCACAGTATACTAATGGTTTGTTTGTATGGACAAGTAGCATTGCTACATAATATTTCATTCATCTAGCTAAAGAAAAAAGTTATTTACCTCTCTGTTTGTTAGTGCAGCTTTATGGAGCGGAGTGTCACCGGCATCATTAAGCTCGTCAATTTCTGCTCCATGTCGTAAGAGAGCCTCAGCAACTTCGCGATGACCAAAGTAACTCGCCAAATGTAATGGAGTCCATCCTTGGTTAATTTTAGTTTTTCCTGTAATAATATGTCACAGTTTTCAAGAGGAAAAATGGTTTATTTTTTTAATATACAGTGGACCCCCGCTTAACGATCACCTCCCAATGCGACCAATTATGTAAGTGTATTTATGTAAGTGCGTTTGTACGTGTATGTTTGGGGGTCTGAAATGGACTAATCTACTTCACAATATTCCTTATGGGAACAAATTCGGTCAGTACTGGCACCTGAACATACTTCTGGAATGAAAAAGTATCGTTAACCGGGGGTCCACTGTATATTTAACATTTATAGGCATCATACTGGATGCTTGCTAAACACCTGAAAAAACTGTGGTGCATCAAAAGTAATCAAAGAACATTATAATTCAGAGGTAAATCTTGGAGGTATTTCCTTCTGAATTAAGACAGACTATGCTAGGAAAAAAGGACACAAGTGCAACTAATGTGACATTTTATTGTGGCAACATTTCGCTCTCCAGGAAGTTTATTAATATGCCTTTACAAAACTCCTGGAGAGTGAAACGTTGCTGCAATAAAATGTCACATCAACTGCACATGTGTCCTTCTACCTAACATAGCCAGTAATTCTACTTTCATTGCTAAAGATCGACCTGATTTAGGTTCCCACTACATGCTATTTTATAGATACTTTGACAACAATAAGAATAATAATAATAATTAGTTTATTTGGACATGATACATAGTTGTACAAGGAATTACATATAGTAGTTGGGTGTATAAGCCAAAAGCCCCTTGTATGCAGAGCATTATGGGCAGGCTTATAACTGTAATAAATAAAGTCAAAGCTTCAAGCACACTAGTGGTAAAACCTGTAGATGTACAGTACTATAATAGATGTACAGTCCTATAACAGGTGTACACTAATATATTAGGTGTACAGTACTATAATAGGTGTACACTGCTACATATATTAGATGTACAGTATTATACATGTATTAGGTGTACAGCGCAATATTAGGTTTACAGTACTACATTAGGTGTATAGTACTATAGTATCTGGAGTACAGCAGAGTACCTTAGTCCTGTTTTATATATTTTTTAACATTATTAACATTCAACATTATTTAAGAGTTCACATGAGTGCCTGATCAGCCTGGCTGTGGTTTGTATGTTGGACTATATGCACCCAGCAGTAACAGCCTGGCTGACCTGGTCCAGATCCCCTTTAGGTATCTGTCAGGTAACAGACACTTGGATAACCCCTCAGCTCATTAGTCTGTTATATCGAGAATCTGTTATATTGAGAGTCTGTTATATGGAGAGTCTATTATATCAAGAGTTAAGAGTGCTGATACAGAGTATAAGTAACTTACCTTTACAACTAATGTCCATGTTAACTTTACCATCATGCTGTGCCAACAAGATCTGTTCCACAGTTTTAATATCACCGTTACGAGCACTTCGTAGCAGCAGGTCCTCAAACTGTTCCAGGTCGCCCATTGTCACCGCTTGTGCGTAATAATGTGTTATCTCAAAGTCACCAGAAACTTAGTAAGTCTGAAAAAAAATTAAAAGGAATATGAAAATGTGACAATTTGAAAAAAATTAAAAAAATTATTATTACTATTATAAATTAAAAAATAAGTACTAAACCTGTAAATATTAACTTGTATATTTGTGTAATTCATATGCAGTGGTCCCTCGTTTTTCGTATTTAATCCGTTCCTGGAGGAGCTACTATTATCGAAATCTACGATTTTCGAATCAATTTTCCCCATAAGAAATAATGTAAATACAATTACTCTGTTCCTGACACCCAGAAGTATTAAAACAAAAAATTTTTTTACATGAAATATAGATGTAGCACATAAACAATACAATGGGACATGATGAATGAAACATTAACAGCATAACACTTACCTTTATTGGTGATTCTTCTTAGTGTACGGAAGACTGGAGGAGGAGACAGATTGAATTACTAGTGCCATCACTAGTATGATGGCACTAGTGTCATGATGGCACTAGGGTTATTATGGCACTAGTGTCATGATGGCACTAGGGTTATGATGGCACTAGGGTTATGATGGCACTAGTCATGATGGCACTAGGGTTATGATGGCACTAGCATCATGACATTAACGTCATGATGGCACTAACGTCATAGCACTAATGTCATGATGGCACTAGTGACATGATGGCACTAGGGACATGATGGCACTAGATTATGATGGCACTAGTGCCATGATGGCACTAGGGTTATGATTTCACTAGGGTCATAATGGAACTAGGGTTATGATGACACTAGGGTCATGATGGCACTAACGCCATCATGCCACTAACGTCATGATAGCACTAGGGTCATGATGGCACTAGGGTCATGATGGCACTAACGTCATGATGGGACTAGTGTCATGATGGCATTAATGGCATGATGGCACTAGTGTCATGATGGCACTAGTGTCATGATGGCACTAGTGTTATGATGGCACTAACTTCATGATGGCACTAACTTCATGATGGCACTAGTGTCATGATGGCACTAGGGTCATGATGGCACTAACGTCACGATGGCACTAACTTCATGATGGCACTAGGGTCATGATGGCACTGTCATGATGGCACTAACGTCGTGGCACTAGTGTCACGATGGCACTAGTGTCATGATGGCACTAATGTCATGATGGCACTAGTGTCACGATGGCACTAGTGTCATGATGGCACTAGTGTCATGACGGCACTAATGTTGTGGAAAATAAATTCCCATAATTATACTGTATATATTTTTATAATGTAAATATACATAATTAATGCATTACTGTTGTTCTAAACTGTATTTTGAATAGAACCAACCGGGTTTGCCCTGCGCCTGCGCAGATGTGCGGGGGGAACAGGTCGAGTCCGGGCATGGTGAAGCGGGAGTGTTTTGAATGTAGTGAGGGGGCTGTGAAAACATGGGATCAGGAAATTGGCGTTCACGGCGGCCTAAGGATTAATATAGGCCTCACTTCCTAATAGGAAGTGTCGTAATTGTTCCTGGTGAAGAGTGAGGGAACGTGATTTACGGGACCACCGTAATAAAGTGGTAAAATGAGTGGATAATAGTAGGACCGGGGGTGACGGGTGCGCCGCCATGGAATGTGTCCAGGGGAAATTACCCGTGAGTTAATCCTCACTCATCGGTCTCAGATCTTAATGGAGTGGCCTCTAATGTGTATAATAATTATGAGACATTAAATCGTCTTGTGAATTGTAATGTAATCAGTGATAATAACACTAAGTTAAGGAATCGTTGAAGCGATATGAGCTGCCATTCCCAGAGCGTGTGTGCACGCTTACCTCGTTGTTCTTGTCCTGAGGATAGTGAAGTTTTTATGGAGTCATGACTTCTAAACCGGGACAAACCAACGGATACCTCGTCCTGCTGGAATAAGAACCGTGTCGGTGTAGCAGAACATCGAAATGAGATGGTGAATGGAGGAAATAAGGAGTATCAATCACCCACAGTTAAGTAACCCTTCTAGTTATAGCAGACTCATACTGGCCAGTTAGGTATGTTGTAATTGGATAGGTTATGAGTGATCCAGCTACATCAAGTGACCACCAGAGAATATCTGGTAAGTGGTGGGATTATGTACAAGTGTTTTTCCTTAATGGATATATCCATGTGTAACCTACCCCCCCCCCCTTCATTCAGCTAAACTAATATAATCTATACAGTCCACAATTAATTAGTAGCGCCGTTTTTCCTTAATGGATATATCCATGTGTAACCTACCCCCCCCCCTTCATTCAGCTAAACTAATATAATCTATACAGTCCACAATTAATTAGTAGCGCCGTACTTGAGGGTGCTACCCAATTTATACTGGTCTCAGATAGATATGGATAAGATTGTGAGAGTCGAGGGGCCACCTGTAGTGACCAGAGGTGGTTAAGTTTTCTCACATGTCTACATGGGTGACTATGGTAAACAATATTGTTGTTGTCTCCCAAGGAGATTACTCGTATGCATGTAATGTCGAGGTACGTACAGGTAACACCCTAAAAAATTTCCATAAACGTCATGATGGCACTAGTGTCATGAGGGCACTAGGGTCATGATGGCACTAACGTCACGATGGCACTAGTGTCATGATTACACTAGTGTCACGATGGCACTAGTGTCACGATGGCACTAATGTCATGATGGCACTAGTGTCATGATGGCACTAGTGTCACGACGGCACTAGTGTCATGATGGCACTAGTGTCATAATGGCACTAGGGAGGGTTTATAGGTCACTAACACTTTGTCACTGCTTGCTAGGCCTACTCCACAACTTCTCCACCAGTAGGCCTACCCGGGCAATGCTGTATTATATAAACGTAATAAATATTACTCACGCGAGGTTCATTATTTGTTTTTTTGTACTAAAATTGTCTGAAGTTCAACTAATTAAGAGAGTGTTGTTGTTGTCACTGAGGGCCGCCGGAGGTGGAGCCGTATGTAGGCCTAATGTCTGGTGTCTGAGGCTCGTTATTACCCAAATTTGGAAAGAAATGAAGGTTAAAAAAATATATGAAATATTATATATAAAATTTTGTTGTCGCCGTTGAAAGTTGAATAAAGTGAGACTAAAACCTCAGAGTAGAGTCAGTAACCGGCTCTATGAATAAGCCGTCAGAATATTAGTCATGAAGGAAGTAAAGAAGGAAGAATTATTCCAAAAATAACGAAGAAATTATACTAGGCACTGCTGAGACACTGCTGAGACACTGCCAAGGCAGCACTCACTGCTGTTATCAGGACACACACTCATACAATACTTTGACTCATGTTCTAAGTAAGTCACTGACTTATCTCCACCAACAAATAAACAATGTCCTAAACCTTGACTTCCCTTTTCTAATGTCATTTTTCTCACATTAAAACCCTAAATAATGAGAAAATAATGATAAATCACCCAAAGAAGATTAATGCTTCTTTTGAAATCGATCACGTTTCCCGTTTTTATGAATATTTATGAATTACATTGAAAAACAGTACGGTAACATTGCAAAATTCGAACACAACGTTGGGAGGGGAAGTTAAATTTCCGCTCTGGATAACTTGACCACCTTACCAGTTTTTAGTTATTATTGTTATTGTTGTTAGTAGTGAGCCAGTCCTTAGTTATTATCATTATTATTGTTAGTAGTATACCTGGAGAGGATTTCGGGGGTCAACTCCCCCGTGGTCCGGTCTGTGACCAGGCCTCGTGGTAGATCAGGGCCTGATCAACCAGGCTGTTACTGCTGGCCGCACGTAAACCAATATACGAACTACAGCCCAGTTGGTCAGGTACTGACTTTAGGTGCCTGTTCAATGCCTTCATGAAGATAACCAGAGGTATATTGGTAATCCCCCTTATTCAATTCAATTCAATTCAAAGTTTATTCTCTATAAGGATTATAATGCTGAGTTTACAGAATTTGGTTATTGTGTGGTTTACATGTAGTAAAATAATGATTACAGAGTGTACCACTAGAACACCTAGCATGGCTAGGCATTTCGGGCAGACTTAGTTTAATTCTTAATTTTAAAATATTACAAATTATGGGGTAAGTTGGTATTATGGCTAAGTGACTAAATACTAGTTTGTGAGTTTAGCAATGTGAATGTTTTTGTTTTGGCACAGTACATAGTTTCAGTATTGGAGTATCACAGGATTCATTATTTTAAGATTGAGATTAATATTTCTGTTTATGGTCAAATGGGTGAGTGAGTGTAAGTGTGAACCACCAAGTGGTATTCGTGTAGTTAGTTGATGGGGTGTATCAGGGAGATAAGATGTTTTCTAATGGTAGTTTTGAAGGTGATGAATGTGTCTGCTGTTCTAGAGTTTTCAGGTAGGGTGTTCCAGATTTTAGGGCCTTTGACATACATTGAATTTTTGTATAGGTTTAGTCGGACACAGGGAATGTCGTAGAGATGTTTGTGTCTGGTGTTATGCCTGTGGGTTCTGTCACAACTATCAAGAAAGCGTTTTAGGTCAAAGTTGATATTGGAGTTTAAGGTCCCGTAGATGTAGATTGCACAGTAGTAAGTGTGGATGTACTGAACTGGGAGTAAGTTTAGATCTATGAAGAGTGGGGGGGGGGTGTTGCCAGGGATGGGATTTAGTGATTATTCTTACTGCAGCTTTTTGTTGCCCCAGTTAGGCCTGAGTGGTTGAGGGGAGAGGATGAGTGTGTTGAGTGAAGTCCTAGGCCTTCTATATCAAAACTGCTTATCTCACCCGACTGATAACTCATCATGCAACAAATATCGTTGGAGCGCAGCTGAATTGCTGCTGGAACTCTTATGTGTGAACTGTGACTAGTGATATACCTAGTGAAACACAAACATGTTGATTTGAAGTGGCTGTAGGAGGCTACACCTTCACTCCACCTCGGTCTAGAGGCGGTTTTTGCCAGACCACATAAATGCTTGAGTGCCCGTGTCAGTCCTCTGTGCCGCACTCCATTCATCTAACGAATATGTCTCCTGTGTGCCTACCTGCCTGCTACAAGCAAATATCAAAGTGGTTGACACGGGCTTAGCAAGCACATTCAAGCAGGCTTGAAAGCAGCATTCCAAGGCCCAGCATGTCTACGTATACATTCTACAGTGCTGCTGGCATACCAGTGTTTCCTGCAGTGGCTTAGTTAAGAACAATTTAACGAGCATTGCAGTAGATAATAGAGCCTACTAGACTGGAGAATACACTAGACCTCATCTTCACTAACAATGATGATCTGATAAGAAATGTCACCATATCAAAAACAATATACTCAGATCACAACATAATTGAGGTTCAGACATGTATGCGTGGAGCCCCAGACCGACATAATGAGACTAGTCACGAGGGAGCATTCACCAAATTCAACTTCAATAACAAAAACATAAAGAGGGACCAAGTAAACCAAGTCCTAACCGATATAAGCTGGGAAGATATACTAAGCAACACAGACCCCAACGTATGCCTAGAACGGATTAACTTGGTGGCACTCGATGTATGCACAAGGCTTATTCCTCTAAGAAAAAGGAGGAGTAGATGTAAAATAGAAAGAGACAGGTGCTCCCTTTACAGGCGACGGAAAAGAATAACAGAGCGGCTAAAAGAGGTCAATATATCTGAAATGCGTAGGGAGACACTGGTCAGAGAAATAGCAAGCATCGAACTCAAGCTAAAGGAATCTTATAGGAGTCAGGAATTGCGGGAAGAACTAAAAGCCATAAATGAAATCGAAAGAAACCCAAAGTATTTCTTCTCCTATGCCAAATCAAAGTAGAGAACAACATCCAGTATTGGGCCCTTACTTAAACAAGATGGGTCCTACACAGATGACAGCAAGGAAATGAGTGAGCTACTCAAGTCCCAATATGACTCAGTTTTTA